AAAAATAAGTATTCTTTTCTGAGACAAGGCCTTAGACTTCTTTAACTATATCCTTACAGATCCACAAAACCCCTTTGTGTTACGGATCCACATAAATTCAGTCCATACTTTTAGTTTTGCTTCCTGAAGTAACCATATCAGCACAGGTCATTCAAGAGCTTAAAAATCTGGCTAATGGTGTGGCTGGATGCCATCAGTCTTCTCAATTAGTCCTATAGGTTCAATAAATGYCTTATATTTTCTTTACTATTTAAGAAATACCCCTGTGACTGCAGGGGAAGGGACAAAACTATTTTCTTTCATTTATTTGGAACAATTGTTTCCATAAGGCCTTTATGTCTCTTCTAAAAATCTAATCTCCAATATGACTATATTTCCTGTGATCTTTCTTAATCATAAAATTCTGGCTTATTTTTCAGTCAGCCTAAATATTTGTTTACCCAAATACCAGTTTGGAATATCATTTCTTAATTTTTATCTTCCAATAACTTGCCTTTGTAGTGCCCTCTGAGTTTCGAGCCAGAAATAGATTAGTATTATATAAAGGCTGCACTTCTAAATTGTATCTTGTGTATTTGGAAAAGCCTAATGAGAAAGGAGGCAAAGTTGGATCTTACCAGTACAGCATTTGGAACTTTGTCTCTTGTTTTACAAGAAAGAAACCGTTCTTAATCAATTTGACCAGCGGCTTGCAGACATTTAGATGCATTGTGTGTTTGTTGACATCCTTTACTTTCAGGATAAATGATTTTGTGTATAATGGTTTTGGTCTTTTTACTTCTTGAAGAGCAGAGATTATTTTATGGCATTATTTCTCATACTCTGTAGGCCTCTGCTCCCATTAACTGTTTCTAGTAAATTATCTCAGAGCATTTTGCTATGCCCAAAGATGCATGTCTGTGTCACATGTATTAGCCAAATGTTTCAAAAAAACCCGTGCAGCAGAACAGATAACTGCAAAAGGCTTCTCATCAGGAAATAATTTAGAAGTATCTAAATTTTGCGGCTTTTTAATTTTCTTCAGTAGATATTCAAGATTAACTCAGATTAAGATTTTGACCTTTGATACAAAGTCTAATAACAGCAGACAGCCAAGCAGGAATGGTGGCAGATTTAATCATGGATTTTTTCTGCATTCAGCAGGCTAGAGGGCACTCATTTCAGAGACTCATAAGATTATTCTTTCCTGTGAAATCCTCTTGCTGCTTTCTGGTTCACTGACAGCATCTGAAAATGTGTTCTGATCAGATGTGGTACCACTAACAAAGGAATTCTCTGGCCTTCGTAAGTAATGGAAATTGCAAGAGATTTCACGTCTAACCTGGTAACTGATCTTTAAACTCACTGTAAAAACCACTTGCCAATCTTCCTAAGCTGTGGTCAGTGAAAGGTTGCACTGTTTTCCTGTTCCTCTCCTACAATGCTTGCTTCTCTTAATCGAAGAGCAAAACCCAGTGAACACAAGGGATCGTTTTCATCGTAATAGTTTTCATGTTTAAAACCTGAAACCTTCAGGTTTTACTGTCAAGCCTATCCTTTTCTATATCTCTTAACAGTACATAACCATGATATTTAGTAGGGTTCACAGGGTTCCCTTCTTCTGAAAAAGAAATCATTATTAACTTCTCACAGGGTCCTTCATCTTGCTGAACCCCCTCATTTCCTTGTCTCCTTTCAGCTTTCCCTCCCTGAGGTTTAGAGGTGAACGCTGTGATCACTCCACAAGAGATAATGGATGTTCTCCATTTCATTTTCCTTTGGAGGAGGAGCCGACAGAGCTGCCAGGGTGGTACCCATCTGTGCAGCTCCAGCCCAGCTCGGTCTAGCACAAAGTCAGCCCCCATTTACCCAACAGCCTTCAAGGAGCGGAGGATAAAGGGATTCCCTTTGCACTGGGGCAGATGAGCGTGCTGGCACGAGCTGTTTGTTCCGCTGCCCCAGAGAGGCCACAAAGCCCTGGCAATGGCAATGGCAATGGCAATGGCCTTGGCTGCCAGCCTTGTGCACAGAAATGCTACTACCTGTGGCTGTACCCTTTCCTGCCATCAGGAAAATCCTTGCTTAAGTATGTTTGTGGCCAGAGTTCCAGAAAGGTGAATACTGGGTTTTTCCTGACGTTTCTCAAAGTGAAATGACACCCGTGGTGAATGCAGTAGAGCGGTTCATTTCTCCCGAGAGGACGGCGTGCTTGCCCTGCTCTGCACTCTGTGCTTTCCTCCCGCACCTTGCAGTGATTCCCTGGAGCCCGCTGTCAGCTGATTCAGCTTGCTAACTGAGCAGAAAGCCCGCCAGCAAAAGAATGAAGAGATTGTTGCTGAGTTAGCAAGTTGAATCAGTTGAGAGCAAAGTGCAATGAATACCAAAGCTGGCCCAGGACACGGCAGAACTGCAAGGCTGCAGTGGTTCCCTCCCGCTGCAGCTCTGCCTCTCTGCGTGCAGGGTACCTTACATTTAAGCATGCATGACTGCTCTGCCAAGCGGTAGCAACATCAAAGGAAGATTGTTTGAAATTAAATGAAGGGAAATCTGTTGGTTTCTGTCTAGGGAAAGACTAAATAAGAGAGAAGGATTTCCATGTTGCCAGGTGTATCAATCACATGGGTGTCCTATGTATAAACTACTGATGTTTTGTGGCTCTGCAAAGACAGTAATTTATTAAAAATCCCTTCAATTTAAGACAACATTGTGAAGAAACTATAAATAGAAAAAAAACCCAAATAATTATTTTACAATCTGACATATTTTCATCTTTGTTCTACAGCATCCCACATTAAATCATGTTGTAGCACTTACTGCAGGACTGAAGCAGCTGTATATAGGATTATCTGAATAAAAAAACCTCTTCTTGCTGCAAAAAACTCTTCTTGTATGGCACAGGGCATATTGCTTGTGTGCAGATTCTCAAGGTGGTTCAAAAGGATTTCATGCCTAAACTAATATAAAGTCTTGTAGTATTTAAGACTCGGGGCATCATGGAATTTATAAGGTTTTCAGCTATGGCTTCTTTTCTGTTCCTATCCATTCTGGTTTCTTTTTGATTGTCACCAAATGCTGAACTAATGATTCCAGGGAACAGTCCAGAGAAAGTCTCAAAGGTTTTCGAAAGCTTGGGTATCAAATTTAAAACCTGACTTTGTACCTCCAGCACCTATGTATTTTGTATGACCAATACTCTGCAGTTGCTGGTACTTAATTTCTTGCCATTTTACTACTGCAACATTCTTCTACAGTTTTTTCAATTGCTGTTGGAATTTGTTATCCTAAATGACTTTTTTTTTTTTTCCCACAAGACCATTTATCCTATTTATCAGATCACTGGTGAACAAGTCCTTGCACATCCCAAGAGGGAAAATTTTCCTGTGTGAAAATTAGTGTTTGTTTCTTGTCACTCCACAATTTTAATTCAGTCATTTCAATAGAATCACATCATGTTCTCAGTTGCCATCTGTACAGAGGTGAAAAGCTCCCTTACCTTATAGACCATTGCTTAAAAAATTGAAAAGTTTTGTTGAGTTTGAGTTATATGCTCAAACGTGTTGGTTGTTGCTGGTGTGCAATGATTCCACTGAATTTATGGAATCTGCCCCAGAGTAGGCAGAAGGCTCAAGTTTTGTTATTTCTTGCAGCAAGATACGCTGTGTTGCACCAGTTATAAAATTGCTTATTATTTCAGAAAACTATAATAAACTCCCTGAGAAATAAAACAGAACTGAGTTCACATGGAATCAGAGATGAACAATGCATCCTTGCCAAATAACTCTGTAAGCACTGCATTCATGTGATAGCCACAGTAACTTTCATGAGATAATTTGCAGATAAATTCCATCAAAAAAACAAGTATTCAAGCACCTCTAATAATGTGGATCTTATTTTTGCACATTAAAATTGTGATAAAGCCATACTAATTATTTTCATATCTCAAGATGAAAATATGTCACTCATGTAATTATGTAAGTAATTTAAAGCTGGTTAAATAATATGGATTCTGTCCTCATTGCCTTCAAAGGGCTTATAACCAAATTTAATTTTAAGCAGGATCAAGAAAATAATTATTTGATTCAAACATTAATTAATAATTTGAATCCTAATTCATTTAAAATAAACCCAGACCTTTTTTTGCAGACTCTGCAGAGCATTAACTGACATTTTACAAAATGAGTCATTATTTTGGCAAGGAGAAGTATTTTTCAAACAGTGAATCATGACAACCAGAAGGGGTTGTTAAAGGGCTCCAAGGGAGTTTTGGCAGCTCTATTTAGCAGCAGTGAAAGCAGCCCTATTTAGCAGCAGTTTGGCTGCTCCAGAATGACTGGAAAAGTCGTGGTAACTCTTTGCTCTTCACAGCAGCCACTGCTCTCTGCTTTCACTACTGGCAGTGGCAGAGAAAGCTGAAGAAAGAGGGTCCTAAAGCAAAGGAAGAGCTTTATTGAGACATGCTGGAACAGCATAAAGAATAGTTTAGGTCAGTTTAGAAGTGTAAGTTTTGGGAAGTTTATTGCTTTTTTTCTAATTCAGTTTGAAATGGAGAGTCTGAGCAACGTGCTCAGGATTGGACCCAGAGCCTTACAACAGTAGGGTTGGTTTTGTTGGGSGTTTCTGTCCAGACTCTCTGTACCTGCTAACCTCCCTTCTCAGGAACTGGGGGAATCACAAGGCACTGCAACAGCAGGACAGACTTCTGTATGTAAATTCCTTTGGTGAAGAACTACCTTTCAAGTACAAGATAAGTAACTTCAAGAATTTAATGCATTGGCTGACTGGCTCCATAGGACATGTTAAAAAAAACTGCATTGATACAGCAATAATTTTTCTGAGAGTAGATTTTAAGCCCTGATGAGATTATTATAATCATCACATACCATTACTGACTAATGCCACCCATAGGTTTTACCCCTTTTTTTTGCAGCTAATTCAGTCACTGAGTTTTGCTCACTCAAATAATATGCTTTGTAAACCCAAGGGTGATCAGAATTACACCTATGGGTGCGTACTGTCATTTTATTAACTTTTCGCAATGTTTACAAGTTCAGTTTACATTTTCTACACTGACCAGTTTCACGTTTCTCACCTTTTAGCTCCTCAGAGAATCCATGATAATCAGAAGTTGAAGTTTGCATGATCTCCTGCTGCACCAGGCACTGCTTCAGCCTTTACAACCTGCTATGTACAAGCTACTTCATTTTTTTGTCAGAGCCTGATGGAGGAAAAGCTTTCAGACAATATTTATCCCTGATCACTTCTACCCCTTTTTCTCCTTCAGGCTGTATTTATGTTCAGATTGAACTGTCTTTACCTTTCTCATTATCATTTTCTTACAAAGGCATCTGTTTTCCTCAACACCTAGCTACTGCATTTTCACTTAATTATTTGGCCTCAGCAGAGAGGTTTGAATATTTCTCCATCATAATTGACCGCTTGTCTCCTAGTGTAGGCTGAGCTTTCATGATTCTATCAAATTGCTTCTGCGTCATCTTGTGAAATGGTCCTTTAACTACCAATTAACAAGAAATAACAGCAAAATATTTTGTTCAGTCTTCAAGTGCATGAGCTAACATTTTTACTGGAACATTTAGGCCCACTCATTTCATCCCCTTCAGCGCTGGAAGTCCTTCAGCATTTTTCTGTGTGTGTACCAGGATCCCCCGCAAGATTAGTGTCTCCCAAATCAGCATCACCTCAGCCTGCTAATATCTGTGATTCAGTGGTTAATGAAAATTTTTAGCAAATTCAGTAATAAGACACATACATAAGAAATTCCACTCACAGCTGCCACCCAGCCCCATATACCTCATCACCAAGCTGCTATAGTTACCATGTTCTACATCCTGACCATTTTCCACATTTCCCATACTTCCATTGTATCAGATGTTCTAAATCTACAAAACATGGACTTGTTCTGTTGTGCCAGGCTTGATTCTTACTTCACTTTTAGTCCTGGAAATTCTGCAGACCTAATATCTATTTGCTTGCAGATTGGTTTGTGCATTGCCCTCTTCTTTTTCCACTTGAGTCTGTTCTTTCCCAGCACAGGATTCAAACCCCACAATTTTACAGGATTAAACCAGATTTTCTTTTCTACCTTAACAGGAGCCTGTGATCTCTCCCCCACAGCTTTAGGGGACTGCACAAACAGGAAGAGTTCAGCTCTACACTGCCAGCTTGAGCTGAATTCAAACCCAGCTTTCCCCTTACCATTTAAACTTCTGACTCCTCCCCTCACCATGCAAGTGTACCAGAACTTGATATACTGCTTACCAGAATGCAGGGCTAAGAACTAAAGGGTGTAACAGAAAATAAGCTCATACTTTCTTTCCTTGTAAGATAAACCAACTTTTAATAATAAAAACTTCTATCAGGTTTTCAGTGAGAATAACATACACATTTCAGTGTAAACCAGTGCACAGTGTAAATGCCCCTGGATAGCGCAGGCTGCAGCAGGGAGCACAGCTGATAGGGACACCTGATGGGTTCTTTTTTACTTTCGGGACTTCCTATTCCTTAGTTCTTACAGTACTAAGTACATTTTATATTGAGGATTCAGTGCAGAAACATCCATTTCTTCTTCAAATACCAAATGGTAAGAGTAACTTCTCCAAAATTAACAAAAAGCACATTGAAATAGTGATCTGCTTGTCTGGCTGCAGTCCAGAACCGACACCTAGCACCAAATCCTTGTATCCCACAGCTGGCAATCCAGGGGCTATTCTTGTTCCCTTTAACAAGTTGCTCTAGGTCAGAGGAAACAGATAAAAGTAAGAAATTTTTTAAAACAGACAACAACACAAATAAAACCCCCCAAACCTTTATTTGCTAAAATGTACATTACTGCAAAGCACTCCTGGCTCTCCTGACTGCAGCTGGTTTAAAGGAGGCTGTGGAGAAACAGAGCAAAGGGGAACTTTCCTGTACACCTGCTAGGTTAGGGAGGGTTGGTCATGTTAAGGCACTCACTCCAAAAGAACATTATTTCTGTCCTGAGACTGCTGACATGCTTTGATTAGTTTCAGCCAGTAATTTGGAAAAAATTACAGTGCTTAGGGTAATACTGACAGAATGGAGAACGATTTTCAAACAAGAAAAAATAAAGCACATTATATATACAGTTCCTTTTTTTCTTTTAACTTAAAAGCATCCCTAATACATCTTAACGACTGTATTAAAGACTGCTTAAATATTGAAGGTTTTAAATAATGTAGATTTCTTTCAGTAAACTGGGAGTAGCTGTGAAACTGCCAGCATATTGGTCCCATTTAAAACAATATAATTTTTATTTTAATCTTGTATATATAATAACATGATCGAAAACAAATATTATTCCACTCCACATAAATAAGTATAGTTCTTCTGATCTGTTTTAAAAACTACATCTGTTCAAATAATCAGATTGTAAGACTGTATTTTTTTCTTTGTAAAGTTTTCCTAAAAATCCTACACTGCTCTTCACTAGCATTGTATTCCGGAGTACATAATCACAGGGCATTAGTAAAAAGAGTTAATCAAAAACTTGAAAGCTACAGTAAGTAAAATGAAGTAATGGTAAGTATTATGAAATGCATATTCTGCAGCATAGAGAGATTCTCTCACTGGGCTGAACTGGAAAATTATTCCAGAAGAAATTCTTTATGTTCCTATTTGAAAAAAAACATAGATTGTGCTGTTCTTTGCTGAAAAGTGCAGGTCAGTTTATGAAAAAGAGGCGTTTATGGAGGCTACTGCTAAAGAGCATTGACCAAAATCCTGCTGGCAGTTAAATGGATGCCAGGTGCAATACAGGGAGAGAGGAATGTGTCCATCAGGATTTTCTGAACTACGAAGTTATCTTGCAGTCCACAACTTGCAGGTGGTTGCACAAACAAGTCACCAATAAAACCACACGTTCCTGAAGAATAACAGTCCTTGTCCAGGCAACTGGCAAATGGCAGCAGCATCCATTCTTGCCTGTGGTATCTGTTTCAAGAATTTCTTCAAGAAGTCAAAGAAAGACACGAATCCCCCATGGGCTGCAGGAGTTCAAAGGCAGATTTCTGGTGCCCTCTCCTCCCGAGCACAGGAGCACCATTGGGTCCAGCGGTGGCTCCTGGGCCAGGGCTCTCAGAGCCCTGTGGGGCTCCTGGGGCTGCCAGGAGGGGCCTCTCCCTTCTAGAAATCCCCATCTGCAGGCGGCTGGCACAACCTGTAGAGTCTTTAGTGCAGATGAAGAGTAGGGAATTAAAGATCATACAGATAATAACAAAATTACTGGAACAGTATATGAGAGTCAGCAGCTCCTTTGTCATTCTGCAAGCTGTAGAGGTAACGACATTCAAGATCTCTATTTTTAATTTTAGTAACTACAAATTTGGAAGCGTCACTAGCCATTTGTTAACTGAAGTATTTACAATCATTGTTTACAATATTATTTGAGACTCCCCATTACTTCCTCTTAATTTTGGCTCAGTTTGGGTCTTCGACAGTCCCTTCTCTCTTATTCTCTTTCCTTCAGTTTTAAACCCAGTTCAGCATTTTTCCCCAATCAAAGAAATTCCCCTCTCCCCCATCCCAGGATACCAAACACATAAAAGAACATATCTGCTTGCTGACATGGTTGAACAAATCTTAAAATCAATAATCATCTTTTCATCGACATTTTTTTACTCACAAGATTATAAAATGGAGTGGTTAAACCTAAGTGCATGTTGACTTGCCATTCATGTGTAACTTTGTGACCCTTTTCTTGGCTTTTTCTTCTTTAAATCTGAATAAACTCAAGTCTTTTATAACTTACCTTTCAAGACAGCTACAACAGATTTGTGCTAAGATATATAATCCTGGGAGTTAATATTAATTCACCAGATTGCCTTTTAACTTTGCTCAGTTATAATTCACATTAGAAGGAACACAAATATCTGAGCTTTATTGCCCTGAAATAATCCAAGTAAAAAATTCTGGAATTTATCATTGTGATTCAGAGTGTATTCAAAAAAAAAAGGAAAAAAGGCCTCATCTCGTGATTTGCTTTTTAAGTTGTTACATTTTGAACATAACATGCTGTTATGGCCATAACAATTGAGCCAAAGTAACATATGGCCATTAATAAGGTATAATAACCACACTGCCAAATCACTGATGGATGGCACCTGGGCCATGGTACAGGAGCCAACACCATTGTTTTATTTGTTTTTGAAATAGCAATTACAACCCAACAGAAGGATAAGGTTCTAAATGTAAAATTCTACTCTCTTAAACATCTCTGAGGAAACAAACCAAGACTGTTAGAGGAAGCATCATCGCAGTCTCTAAAATTTAAAATCATTTTCTATAAAGATTTTGAGGAGTGGATAGGAGAGAAAAATGAATAATGGAAAGAGGTGCTAATTTAGACTAACTCAGAGATCTTAATGGGTGAATAAGRTATCAGTGTTTAAGGAGTCTTCTTGACATTGAACCATTGTACTCTCTGGAGGACTCTAGCACTAACAAACACACTTGTTCTGTCTGAAGACATGGCATCGAATTTGCTGGACCTTTCCTGAGGCTGATTGTTGTGGGCCAGAACTATTTTGCCTTCATGTAAGCAATGCCATTATTGCAGAATCAGAAGTTTCACTGGTTTTTGTACAGATAGACTCTATATATATTGACATCTAAACCACGAATTTTTATTGCCATTGTGGGAAAATGCTGTGTTACAGTTTATTAAAGAACATTCTTTTCTCTCTGAGAGACAAAATTGGAAGAAACTGATCCAAGTTACTATTCTTAAAAGTATTATTCTCCTGCAGAAACATCTCTGTCTCCCATTAAATGCAGTAGGATTCACAAACATACAATGCTTTTCAAAGCTGTCTTCTAGTCAAATATAACCCTGGGCAACTGAGGTTCCTTAGGGCTGCATTACAGTGTGGTTACTCTGACTTGAAGTGCTTGCTCTTAAACCTGCTCTGCCAGAACGAAACCATCAGACTCTTGTAAGCATACTACTGTATTATCTTTGCCTATCTGCAGTCAAATTTGCTGTTCAGGAATGTTTCTTTCTAAGCGTTCCAGAGATGACTGTCCATCACTAGCTTTGCCAACTGATAGAAACAGTTCAAGAAAGATCGGCTGTGTTTGATTCAGAAAATGCAGAAACCTTTGAAGCTGGTGATCTGTAAATTGTAAGCAGCAAAGCTGATTAATCTACAGTACTTAGTTTAGTACAGGGAGAAAAAAGAATTTTTTTCTTTTTTTCCAGTATTGCTACTAAGATCATCTTTGGTTATAGCAGGATCTCCACAACTGTTACACAAACATAAAACCAGCACTCAGAGAAAATGCATAATACATAATAACCTACCGAGGTGCACACTGTGGCATTTGGTCCATTACTTTCAGATTCTTGGCAGAGATTTCAACCCTTGGTCCCTATGGGAACAGAAATTTATGGTACTGACAGGAATGATAAAACAAATGATCCTTAGGGAAAAATATTATAATGGGAATATGGTTCCTCTTTGAGTATCCATTAACTTCTTCTAGAAGATTTGGAATCCATTGGGTGGATACATAAATCATCTGTGTTTACTTGAAAGATAAATTAGTTCCAAAGCACTTTACAAGCACTGCTGTCTAGCACTGGGTAATTTCACGTTGTGATTGAGATTTGGGTTTTTTCTATATAGAAATTGTCTTAAATGTGCTGCACAGTCTTTCTTTTCTAACATCAAGGCGCACAATGTACACTGAGGCAGAGATTTTAACTGCTGTAGGGGCTGTACATGCAAAAGTTAACTTGCTCCTGGTGTAGCTATTCAGCTATTAGTAGGAGTTTGGATATGTAGGTTTGTAGTGCATAAAATACAGTGCAACACCAAAATAAACTGATGTTTGCATGATGCTGTTACTGGAATGGAGATGGTGGCATGCAGCAGCCAGAATCTCACCTGCTTTCGCATGATGTCTGTAGCTTGCATGATGCACTTGGGCAGGAGTCCGTGGCTGCGAGCCAGCACGGCTGCTTGCTCCAGGGAGACACTCAGTGTACTCCTGCATCAGGGAACAAGAGGTAGCAAATCACAGACCATCTTTTAAAAACTATAAATAGGTATATGCAGGACACTTACCTGCTAAGTATTACTGCTGGTAGCTATTCACTTTTATTTACTTTTTTAGTTTTTTCTACATACAAAACTATTACATGACCTCAGTCTTGCTTTTCCAGTCTTGTTGCACATGCATACTGCAATTGTTTGTGTCTCCAGCATTATGACTACAAGTCTATGAGTCACTGCTCTTCTGCACTGATTAATTTTAAATGGATTCACAAATTAATCTTCACTTTTCAGACACTGGCAGAACAGTGGTGTGTTTCAAAATCAATATGTGTACACACCAAGACTCTAAACCTATTTTGAGCAACTTCCTACATTTTCAGTATGCGACTGAAGACAATGCTGACTACAAGCTCTGTGCAATGAGATCACTTGATCAGTTGGCATCGGTCGATGCACTGAAACACAGAAACTTTTGGGTCAATACTATTTATTAACCAAAGTATTAAAAGTTACAACCTACCCTGAAGTAAAGATGTCAGCAGATTTAGCGCCCTATTACATTCCCTCAAAATTTAGCTTCATTTGCTTTGAATAGGATCACATCTCTAGAAAGGACCGAGGTTCTTCTGACAGCAATAGYGGCCAGGTTTAACCCTCACCTCTGCATTCCGGTGGCGCACATGGTGATCTGACAGGCTCCCAGCCGGTAGCAGAGCTCAGAGGATATGGGCAGCAGGCCAGCTCCTGATGTGGCACTGCTGGAACATCCTGACTGCACTGCTTTTGTACTAATGAAAGACTTCATCAGCCTGCAAAGCTCATCCATTGCATTGATAGGGCGAATAAGCTAAACAAAGCAATACAAAACCAATCAGTAGCATATTAACACCTTCAACTTCTAAAGGTATTTACAAATCTTTATCCTATGTCCAAGCACAGTATTCTACACCAGAGTAACTACTATTCAGAATATATATGAACTTTTGAGGTGGCAAAATAAAATTACTTAGGCTTGGGACAATTTTTTATCACAAATCACATAGACTGTTTATTATGGATATTATAACTGCAAAGACCGTCTCTGGCTTTGTTTTCCCTGCAGTAGCATTTTTATGCTTTACATGCACATATCCAGGTATCACCTGCCCAGTCAGACAGACTGCCTACACGTGAGATGCTGGGCAGCACTATTTTCTTGTATTCTCTGCAACTGTGAACGAAGGGTAACTTGCAACTTGTTCAACTTGCAAAGTGTAACTTGCAAATTGTTTGCTTGTTTGTTTGTTTTCTTGCATCTGTAGGAGAAGAAAATGAGCCCATTCTGTCTGGCATCAGACACGTGTTTGGGGCAAGGGCAAGCAGGGGCACACAGTCTCCTCAGTGTTGTAGTGAAGGGGGTTTGTGTCTATCCAGGTTCTGCACATTTTCGTCTCAATGAAAGAACCAAAGCCAAGCTGCAGAGAAATTCACATCATCCCTTTAAGGTAGGGAACATTTTAAAATGCTGTTTGGGTTTGTACAGATCTGGATACAGGTATTCTACAAGTGTAATTTTAGAGATGTTGAAATAATACTTCTATGACAGAATTTATTACAGAAATAAATGCAGAAACAATACCTGGTCAATCTTCACTGCAGTAGTATTGGAGTCAGTGGGCAAGTTTGATCTCTCTAGGTAAAATGTCCTGCAAAAAGACCAGCAAGTACTGCATTAGTTTGGTTTGTCCCATTTCAAGCACATACATGTATGTATACTATCTTGTATGAAACAGCTGAGAAAGCTATGCTAAAAATCTTGCACTTGAAGATCTACTTTCATATTGAACCACTGTGATTGCAGTAATTTACAGTCTGTACTGAAGTATTGCAAATCACATTAAGAAAAATAAAATTTTAGCTATGCACAAAACGTTGAGGTCAGATTTGTATTCCTCCTGAATGAGCTAAACTATCACAAGAAAATTAACAGGTTTCCCACACAATGAGGCTCTCCAAAAATCCTGTCTGAACAAAAACCGATCAGGAACGGAACTTCTTTTTTATTAAATTTTAAGGCCCTTAGCAAGGAGTGCTCTGAAATTTTCAATCCCTTTTAAGGCATAGCAGAAGTACAAAATACCTGAGTTTACGGTAATATTGCTGCACTTTTTCAAGTGAAATTCCATTAATTTGCTGTGGGAGGTCTTCTGGAGATGAGCCAGCTGGTTGTGATTGCCCTTCCATACTCTCCAGAGCTGAAGAAGAAAACACTTTACTAAACCTATTGAATTTCTTTAAATTCATTTCTTTGTCTCTGTATCATCGCATTGCTCAGCAGATGGCTGTTGGATCACATCATGACTGATTCTGTTACTCCATAAATATAATGCCTTTCCCAGCATGGGAGTACAACAGTACTAWCATAAAGGTGAGCTTTACAGAAAGCAGTTGTCTGACAGCACTTATTTCCCATTAATGACCCCTTGAAGGAAATTTCCTGTGTTGCATTTTGGTGCAAATATCTGCTTATCAAGTCGATTTGTAGCCCAGATGATTCTGTCATGGTGTTGGCTTTTTAAAATACTTCTCTGTAGCCTGGGCTCATCTCCTGATTCCACACTGGATCAGACTACCCATGTAGTCCAGTATAATGTCTCTACGGCTGACGCACAAAAAAGCCCCAAACAAGCATAACTTCTTGTCATGACCACATCTCATTCTAAAGTCTAGCGCTCTCCCAGGGCTTCCTAAAAGAGAAATAGCTGCTTTCTAAGTGTGCCTGTAGGTCTCAGCTGTGTTTTTTAAGAGTTTCATGGCTGTTCTTTATTCTAAATCTTTCAAAATCAGTAGTTAGCTTATTTTTCTCAAGAAAGCTTTTTACAGACTTTTTTTATAGCTTTTTACCTTTTGTAAAGAGCACTGTGTGCAGTTTCAAGGTTCCCCCATTCTGAAACCGAGCAGGCAGTTTGGAGAAGTAGAAGCTGTCAAGATAAAAGATAACCTTCAAGGCCTGACGACTTCCTTCGATGTGGTAGAAGACATGAGTATCTGGAGAAATAAAGGTAAAACATTTGCTGCTTTACCACAGCAGGAGAACTGTGAAACCACTCCTCTCTGAGTTTCTTAGATTATCTAATGACATATCACATCTCAACCATAAAGTGAAGAAGGAAGAGCCTTTATGGAGAGAATGCAGGCTCTGAACTTATATTATACTTAAAAGATCATAGTTAGTGTGACCTAGGATGATGTTTGATGCAAATACAATAAACAGGTTTAACATTTAGAATCCCATGTTGTTTCATGGCATTTCGTAGCCAGTAAGCATGAAGAGCGATCTGGCAGGGTAAAACAGGAGACACTGAAAAGCTGGGAATTCACCACAGGGAATGTGGTGCTAATTATCTGTCATATCTCCTCCCCCTGTACAAAATCACACAGATAAGGCAGACTGGCACAGGCCAGTTACACAGCACAGAACATGCACCACCATTCCACCATGTCAGTCCTGCTTTACGAGTTGTGTGCTTGCAGTGGAAGCTGAGGGAATACAACAGTGCTTCAGAGAAGCTGCCTAGTGCTCTCCAGGTGTGACATGATCTCTTAGATTTATAATCATAGAAGATATTAATCTATAGAACATAACAAAAAAGAGCCTCAAAGAAACAGAGAACACTTACTTGCTACAAGATTTTCATCAAGCTGCTTGAAAAATAGGGCAACTTTGTCTAGTTCAGCCAGAGTGACCTGAATGTCTTCCAGCATGGTGCGCTCCTCTTTCTGTAGAGCAAGGCAACAGATACAAATAGGTTATTAACTGCCAGAAAATGAGTGGCAGGAAGGTACTGTTGTTACCGGCCTGTTTTGGTTCAGGAAACCTAAAACAGAGTGCAGAGCTTTCCGTTAGCTCCATACCAGCCAGGTGATTACTAACAGCTCTTTAACTGTGTGATACAACTTTAACCACTCTGTGCTTAGATATCATTTGATGTGATTCAGAGTAGACAGGTTCAAGAACGGAGTAAGTTTGAAAGGATCTCCTTCTCCGAACTTTACACCTACAAATGCGAGGAACAGCTGATCAGTTACTTTTAAAAAAAAGTGATACATTTTATGCAATGCAGTAGCAGTTACATGCACAGATAGTCTGGATTTTATTTCTTCAAAAGTTTCCACACTCTGTCTACTATATCTGCACAGTGCAAAAAAAAAATTCCCTGCTCTGTAACATCTGCGCTATTTGTCTGTTTTATGCCTCTCTTTTCTTAGCATTTTTAGTAACGGCTGTTGATCTCTGTAGCTGTGGCTCATCTGTTCATTAGGTGCAGATGAACTACGCAAGCACAGCCCCTCTCAGAGATGGTGCCTCAAGCCTCAGCACCACAGACTTGAGAGAGAGACTGCAGTTCTGTCTGAACTCCTGCAATACTCACAACTTTCTCATCCATTTGGGAGATGCACCAGCAGATGGCAGGGACACTCATGCCACCAACAGCTGGGCCCTACAACCTCTCAACATGCAGCAGCATTGTTCCAAATATAAAGACTGACTATTTCTGTAGTGTTGTAGTGCGACAATGGGTCCAGTATTTGTGAGGAGATGAGAATGACCAGACGGGGAATTTGGGCATTTGGTTGTCAGCAGTGGAAATCTCAAGAGATTGCTGTAGCGAGTGTCTGAATATGCTGCAAGAACGAAGGGCTTTGGCTGTGCTGTGAAAGGCAAATGTCAACAGACCAAAGTATATCACAACTCTTCATCTTACCACGGTGGGGGAGAGAAGAGACTGGTAGTTCACTAAAACTCCAGTGGCTGCTATCTGTTCCAGCCATTTTCTGCTGGCATCTCTGCTGCTCTCTTCATATTCGCCATTGTTGTTGTATCGACAGTTGAGAGCAGCCAGTAGCTGCTCTGAAAAGGTGCAAATAGCAGCCACAAGAGACTGACAGAAGATGGAATCACGTCTCAGCTGTAGCTCAGTATCTGTCAGAGAAGGGGAGTGAAACATAAAGAAGTCATGAACATACTCATCTTCCCTCCCACTGCCAACAGAGCAATTTGTGTGTGTGTGTGTGTGTGTGCACGTGATGTTCGCATTCTGCTGTAGCTTTGCACTGACTTAACAGATAACCCTTACCCTAACCTTCTCCTTGCTGTGTGACCTGGGTCAATAGACAAAGTCAGACTCATGGGAAGGTTGGCCTAGATGCAGAGGAGGAAAAATCTTAGCACAAAATGCCAGGGAAAAACATTGTAAATGTTAAGGAAACACATTACATTCTGATGTATGCATATGTATGCACATAAACTGTCTTAGGGGCAGTTGTATGTATATTGTTGTTCTGTAACAAATGAAAATCCCTTACCTGTGCATTTTAACAAGGCCAAAAGCAGCTGATTCTTCCCATCTAAAACGGTGAAGAAAAATGCTGTAATTAACACAATATCAAGGTAGATGAGAATGCATCTGGTTAAGAGTTTCCTCATTCCCCCCAAAACCCTGGCCCCTGCATAGCCTTGTCTGTTTACTCTGGTAGCCCTCACTTGCACAAACATGTTTGTGACTGAAGAAAGCCAGATTGTAAAGCAAGGAATGTCACTGTCTGCATGCTCTGTTATCTACCATCAATTACTGGAAACAAATTGCACTTGCAGATGAATCCCTAAGGAGGTGATTTCTATCCAGTACTTTGCACTGATCTGTAAACATCAATTTCATCTGTTTCAGTTCAACCAGACTGCAATGGTTTAGGATGTTGTAATATCAGATTAGCATTCATTTCACAGTTCAGAATATACCAAACATCTTTCTTCATTTTCTAAGAGGGTTTAAAAAGCACAGGGAGATAGATCAGTCTGACATCAATCTGAATGGGCTGATGAAATAAAAGAAGGCGGGGGAGTTCTTTGGAATTGCTGCACAGATACAATTTTGCCATAAAGCACCAGGACTCTGCAAATCATAACCTGCTCTACCTCGTCCATTCCAGAGGCCAGGACAGCCTTATTGCAAATTGAGTTAGAATTATGAAATTAATGGCTAGACTTGATGAAGATGTTTTCCCTGAAGCCAGTAACATAAGCTTCCTCGTTACAGACCTTCCACATGTTTCTGTATGATGTCAATGAGGTTCTTGATGCGCACTGGAAGGTTCCATGGATCTTCCTGAATGCTGGCTTGAATATTATTCCGACACCTAACTGTGGTTTCTTCCTTCTGTTTAAATTCTAGAAAACATGGAGTGTTAGCCATTTAGGAAATTCTACATAACTAAGAGTGCCTCAGGAGTTATAATATAAATAGAGATGAAAGCCGAGACACAGTACCAATAGCACTAACTGGGAATTCAAAAGGTTCTTAATAGAACTAACAGGGCAAAATACTGTTCCCGTAGTCCCATTATAGTTATTATTATTATTATAATTATTATTATAGTTATTAGTTATTATTATTATTATTATTATTATTATTATTATTATTATTATTATTATTATTATTATAGTTCCCAACACCCTGCTGTTGGTGATAAAATGCATAAGCAGACAGAGAAAAACTGAAAAAACAAAAATAACTGCTCCTGGACAGGAACAGGAGAGCACTCCAATGTCCATCCATCACCAAAAGGTGTCTGTGGTAGCTATTAAATAGACACTATGGTCCAGGATTCCAGCTGAGTGCAAGCAGATCTTGACTGTTCCTCCGTGCGATGAGTGTGGAATCATCAGTTAACGAAAAGACTCTCTCAGGGTAATCAATCTACTTTTAATATATGAGATTCTCTTTAAGCAAAATAAATGTCTCTTATTTCTTCCCTTCATTCAAACAGTGTATGGAAACACTAACACTCTACACCCATGTGAATGTGTTTGTAGATATGAGCTCATATAACAGAATTTCACAGGAGTTATTTCTAAAGTCAAGAAAAGAAAAAGCAGGAAAAGATCTCCAGTCCTAGAGTTTCCCATCATAACTAAAAACCAGAGCCTGTGAGAAGTTGGAACTTTCACCTCCTACAGCACCTGTGGTACAGCAGGAGCAGTAGGAAACATTTCAGATTTGGGGAAAAGAAATGCAGCAAACATTTAGAAAATAAAATCCTGTGTATTTCAGGGAGAGAAGAAACAACATCCTGACCCCAAAATCATTAAGACCAAAGAGTCATCATGCCCCTGGAGGAAAAAGAAACCATGGTATCATCTGTTTTCTCTCTATGCGAACCAGTTTTCAAAATAAGTTATTTATGTGAGGAGGAGTTTATTCTGGCAATCATCCATCTGAACAAAAGCAAAGTAAGTCATTAAGCAAACTAAGGCAGAATCTTCTGGTGCTTTGGAGTACTCAGCCCCTCATCAGCTTATCAGAGCACTCCTTCACCTTGAATCTGACCCATCTCTACTTTGTACCTTCTGAGATGATATGTTCACATCAAAGTGGAGATTTGGAGACTTGTGAAAGAGCTGCAAGAATTGAGCAGCATGTAACAAAAGAGGCTTCTGTGGGTTTCAGGAGGAATTCCCATGAAAATGACCTCTTAGAGATACAAAATTTCAGTGGTCAGACACAGTACCTTCCTAACGCATGACGGGGTAGACTGCAGAGTTAAGGAGCTCTGTGTGGCCATAGCATATATGCATTCATGTTAAGCTCTTAAGTCTTGGAAATCACATTATTAAATACAATCAAATCTATTTCTTTACCTTGCAAACTGTGGTCCATTGGAAAGTGCTTGGTTTCTTCAAAGGCTTTAGTTATTCCTGGTCCTTTTAGAAGTGCATTGATTCCATCAACCTACAATTGGAATGTTATCAATTAGGGTCAGTAAAACTTGCAGAAGAAAATCTGAAAAGAACCCTTGAGGGAAAATGCTGAAGTCTTTACCCTGTCTATATTTACGAAGGACTATACACAGCAGTCAGACTTTGTAGCTGTGAACTGGCCTCAAAAGCCTCTCACGAGGCACGACGATCATCCATGTGCTGATAAGGATAGAGAATACCAAAACACTCTCCGTATGACACTTTATAAACACATCTGCAGACTAAGCTTGTGAGAACCTCCTGAAATCTGCAAATGTGATCCATTTATATCAAACAAAGTATCAGAAATTTATTCTCACTTTCTTTTATTCATGAAAGCTTTTTTCCTTTAGTCTCACGCCTAAGGGCAGGTGACCCTTGCTGAAATCACAAGGCAGCTTGAATATTGCAGACAAAAGTGATTCCTCAAACTGTCCTATAATATACTTGCTTACACTGTACTGCAAAATCTCGGTAGTATGCCTTTCTCAAAATAAGACTTCATAACACAGTTTAGTACTTCCATTTTCTTGACTGACATTAATAAAGAGAAAGCAGTTCTGTGTAAGAATAACGAGTTGGATACCTGGTTAAAAAGGTGTTCCAGACAGCCATGAAGTTTGTCTTGCTTGTCTAAAGGTATCCTCATATCATTGGGAAGCTCATCTCCTAATAAGGGAGAAATTAAAAGCTTTTAATTTAAAAACGTAATCTGTAATGAGGCATGAGCACACCTTCTCACTGGTGTGAAGCAAATAATGATTGCTGCCTTATCTACAATTCTTAGATAAAAATGCTCATTGTTTCCATATAATGCAAGTATACAATAACTAAAGAAACTTATCCCTGCCTAATACCTCTTCCACGTTCCAAACTGTAAACTGTGTTTATTAGAAAAATTCTTGTGATTAATTTTGAAGAGACCAACTGTGCAAATGAAATTTGCAAGTGCTTATAATCAGCAAAGCCTTGAGAGCACGAGAAGCTGCCTGTGCCCTGCGCTCACTCACCTGAGCCCATCTCGTCACTGCCCAGGTAGGAGCTGYTGCTCCGCACGCTGGTGTAGGACAGCACCGAGTCGCGGTTACTGTTACACTCACTGCAGACAAAAGCAAAGAGAGATTGAACCAAAGCTGCCCCTGCAGCCAGTCCCTGACACACCCACAGTCTGCCTTTATTAGCACTGCTTCCCTGCACCTGATACTGGGAAAATGAAGTGACTGTGACTAATGACGTGCAGAACAGCCTTTGAGCAAGGCTCTGGAGCTGGACTGCCACAGGATGACTTCTTCTATTTGCAGTTAATGCTGAATGCTTAATAGATCATACTGCTTCTATAAATAATGAAAACAAATATCACACCATGGTCCTTGACTGGGCCACATCATTAAATTTGCTCTATGGGCATTGAGTAGGGGAAAAATTTAAGAGATTGGATCTCCACKAAATATTTGCTATCAATTCTTACACTATTACAGCATCCAAATCCAGTTTATAGGGAGGCTACAGTAGCACAGATACTGGTGGTAGGAGAGAAAATTTAAGGAATCTACACCATCAGAGAATCAGGCTCTGCAGATCCTCTCAGTAAGCAGAGGAGTCACAACAGTAGGCTTCACACCAGTCTTGGCTCAAGACAATTGACTGACTGGAAAACAAACTGCTTGTTGAATCCATACTGGAATTAGAACTTTGAAACACTGGATTAGTAAGGTAAAAGTGGCACAATCATCAGGCTAACCTGTAGGAATCTCTGAAACTCATTGTGTCATGTCCAGAGTCTTCCTGGTCCTCCTCAGAAACTTTGAAGCAGACCTTCTTGATTCCACCGTGCTCAGCTTTGTCGGGATCATTCTCCTCTGTTCCCAGGGAGGGTGAAGATATCTCCTCAGCAGATGGTGGCTCAGAGGCACCACCTTCTGTAGGTTCTGTTATGGTGGATAGAAGTCTGCAGAAGTACAACACATAGCTCTCAGTCCCACAAATGAAGTATCACAACTATGGCTAAATCCAGCTATGTGAAATCAGAGCCAACTTGGTGAGCACTTCACATAGACTACTTCCTAACAACTGATCTGAATATATTCTCAGTTTGGAGCCATTGCCCCTTGTCCTGTCACTCCTGGCTCTTGTAAAGAATGTAGAACCAAGGCTGTAACACAGAACCAAGGCTGAAAGGTCTGCCCCTGGGAAGCAGTGAATGAATCCCTGATTTTGCTTTGTTTTGCAGGTGTGCTGCTTTTGCTTCACCTTTTGAATTGTATTTCAGCCCACAAGTTTTCTCACTTTTACTCTTCTGACACCATTCCCAAACCCTGTGGCAGGGACTGAGCAAGAGCTGTGGAGGGCTGAGCTGCCGGCTGGGGTCAAACCGTGACAATGTGACAACAGTGCACAATGGGCTGTTCTGTTCATTTTTGGATTCCTGGAAGTGGCTGTCAGCAGCTTAAGACATCGTGTGGCCTCCTCCCACGCAGCTCATCCCTGCCACCCCTGCTACCAAAACACTGCCTGTTATGCACAAACCACAGACACACTACTCAATCTTTCATTACTGATTCTAGGACACCTGTGATGATTAAAAGAGAAATAAAAAGACAAATGGAGGAAAGGAAACCATAGGTTCCATAGAGAAACCGGCCTGCAATCACAAGTTTTGCTTAGYCTGCCTTACGGCAGAAAAAATCTCAAGGGTAGGGTCTAAGCTTGTATGGGACTGCAGAACTGCTCTTGACATCAAACAGATTCTTACTTTGGAATATATAGTAAGCAACACGTAGTAAGCTGTCAAATTCAGGTACACTTTTAGAAAAAAAGGACAATAATACAAATACTGGTGGATCTGCACAGGAGAGATTTGACACAAGCAGCAGGGACCTGTCATGCAAGGACAGGTGTGAACAGGTGAGTAAAGAGGCTGACAGCTGAGGCTGACAGAACAATGTGTTTTCTGAGATAAATGCCTCAATATTATAGGAATTTGTTTTTCCAGTACATACAGGATTTTGTACTCACTTATTTATCTGAATGACATACTGCTTCATTTCCTTCACTGCGATGTCAAGTTTGTTAAAAAGGTGCAAGTAGGAGTCCTGCATCTCCCAATCTTCCTGTTTCAACAGAAAACTGAGTCCCCTTTCCTCCTGAATTGTTCCTCCATTCTGCTGGCCAAAGCTACCATCGGGATCTCCATCTTCTGGGGCAGGACATCTCCAGGATGGTGCCGCCATAGTAGTGATGCAATGTTGAGTATATGAGACTGGATTTAAGGTACCTACTAAACATTAAATGATCTAATTAGTATGGCTCTCATTACTTTCCCCACACCATCTCGATGATCATTTAGGATAGGTGGAATTTTAACAGGAAAAACTAAGATTTCACAGAACTATTTTATATAATTACATTATATGACAAAAACATCCTGAAAAAACCTCAAAGAAGTCATTGTTTTTTTTTCCTGCCATGCCAACTAGATGTTTTGAATTTACTGCAGTTCAAAAATTGGTTAAATTATGGAAGTAAAGACATCTGTCCACACATATAGAGACAACACAGAAGCTCTCCAAAAGCATATGTTGAAAAGTTAATGAATTTGGGTTCTCAAAAGTTGGTCCATGTTCTTATTTCAGCTCTACAGATATTTACACTTACACACGCACACACACACACACACAAAGAAATAGGATTCTGTCCCAACAGAAGATAAATGACTTCTTTTTCATTTAGAAATGCTGTCAGTTTTGGTGTAGTATATTTTGCTAACCACCTTAGCTCACATTAAAAATACTATTGCCCAAGCAAGCAGGGCTCCTTTATCGATCTCAGTTTGAATAGTCAAGGCCATGGGTCAGAAGGTCAGTTAGCCTGCACTTCCTCTTCTAAACATTCCTGCACTCTGCCCTTCACAAGGCAATGAATCAGAAGCATGTTAGGTGAGATCACGATAAAGAAATGTTGGAACTCAACCAATCAGATTGTAGGAGAAATGCTGCATAGCAGCAAACTGCAAACAAAAAATCTGTTTTCATCAGAAAACAGATCCCCTGACAGAGTGGAGACTGTCAACTCCAGTGCATGGAATTTATTTAGTAATGACAGTAGAAGGCAGCACTACAATGTGATGGACTGCAGGTGTCCCCTGAATGAAGTGCCAGCACTGCCATCAGTCCCTGCTCACTTTTGGTCAGCAAGTCACCTCTGCTAAGGGCAACGGCACCCCCAGCCATGTAACTACCCTGAGATCCCACACTGCTGAGCCAGCAAAAGCATCTGAGCTGAAGCCTATCTATGCTTAAAGGCATTATTACTTCACAACATAAAAACGCTGCCATTTACCTATAAAATTTTAAGGAGGATAAAAGGGTACTGGCAAGACAATGTTGTATTGGAACTTATATTTTAACTTGCTGAACAGTGGAAAACCACAACTTTTTATAAAGATAAAATCACTATGACTTCACAGTTAATTATCACCTTGTTCAGGATCAAGACCAATAATTGAAGGTTTCCGTCCAATGCGAATACTGAACGATCGCCCTGCTGAGGTAGTGCTTTTGGGGTATGATACTTCCATGAGGTTAATATGGCAGTTGGTGGGGCAGAAATCCATGCTGTTGAGGGAATGTGCTTCCATAATGGCTTGTTTAAAGGCTGGGCTCACCTTTGTTTTCAACTCTTCTGCAAACTGAGAGAAATAAAGCAGAGGTGTGTGCTACTTCACTTTCAAAAAAAAAATACATTTCAATAGAAATTCTTTTCTCTTCCTGTCTCCTATTCCAGAAATCCAATAATTGAGATCTCTGCTGCAGCTGGAATAACACATTAAGAAAACTCCTCATAAAAAAATAAAGGCAAGCAATTAGCTATACCTCCTACCACTGTCTTTTCAAGCAGCTCAGGTAAATGCACAAAAAGAGTATATATACTTTGTTTGCTTATACCATGATACAGTATACTTATGTTCATGTTAAATAAGATATGCATCAATCTCTGGTCATATTTGTGCATTGATACAGTGGAAATGAACCTGTAATAATACATTTTAACTCACAGCCCTGACAAGCAGAAGGGAGTGATTTACAGACAAGGTATTTTTCACTCAAAATTTGCAATTTCAGTAACTTGCGGAGCTGTTCTCAGGCCTCCAGGGCACCCACCTTGGAGACAGTCTGGATTCATTAATAAAGAATACTATGACCCACTTAACACGATGAAGTATTGTCTCAAGATTTCACCAATAACTAGCAGTTAGTTATTGTACCTCTTGGTAGTTCGTGAGCCTCCTGCTAATGCTTTCCAGCTTAGTGTCACAGATTTGCCGGAATTCATACTGGGGCATGGTGGCCACAGCACTGCTTAGGGATATGAGTCTTTCGCAATTCCTTACAAAATGACTGTCCTCTGCAGCAAACGCCTCCAAAATCTAAACAAATAGACAGGATGTCAATGATATGAGACTTGATAATGAGGTAAAATACAGGTTTTTTCCACTGAGTGAGTGGCAAAGCCCTCTGGTTAAATAAAGCTGCCTCCAGAACAAGCTGCCTTTATTACTGCCTGAGAACTCCTAATGTGTCTATTCCTCAGAGTCTTATAACATTCCTCAAAAAATTTTAGACTCATGGAAGTGGATCAAAATATCCACTGTCTGTTACCTGCTCCGGCATGCTTTCATGGGACATAACAATAATATAACTGGGATGTGACAAACACTTATTATTATCTCATTGTTGTCAGATGACCGAGATACTCATGACTCTTTGCTGCCTTCCAATAGCAGCAGTTCTGCTCAGTTCCTGTAGCAACCCATCCGCCCTATCAGGTGGGGAAAAGCTGCTTGATTTCTTCCAAGGTAAAGCAAATTCCTGCCTGAAAAGATGGATCCTGAATATCAGCAGGAAGTCTGTTACCAGCCAAGGTCTCCCATCCATCTGCCTCAACAGCTGAAGTCCTGGAAGCACTTGCTGATTTGCTCATACCAAATGAGCTGTTTTAACTCAGTGCATTCTAATGAACAAAACTCTAAGCAGAGCTGAGAAGAGCAATGTCAACCTCAACTGAAGAGCCAAGCCTACATCAGCCAATAACAAGATATATTATTGGTTTAGGAAAAAGCTAAAATAATAAGCTATATTCTGTTTTGGAATAAAGTTGTCCATGTATGGTTTTGGTACCTTTGCAGTGAGATTGAAGCAACCTTTTGGTTCCACAACTTTCTCCAAGACAAAGGATTTGATTCCTGAACTGCTGACATATTCATACACCACCCCATGCTCCAGATGGGTGTTATCCACAGTCAGGCTGATGAGAGCGGTTTCTTCACCAATGACCAGTGGAGAAATAACAGTCTGTGTTGTCTGGGCTGGAACAAAAGTAAGTCATTGGAGGTGTCAGGCAGCACATGTGAACACAGGCCTGCTCAGGGAAGAGAAACCTGCTGAGAAGAATTATTGAATGCAGAAACACAACCTTTGGCTCAAGGAGTGTCTTGAACTATGTACTGCTGGAGACTGAGAGAATAGTCTAAGGAAGACATTTGCTATTGGCCCCTAATGGAAACAGAGACAGAGGTTTACATAATCCACATGCTCCAATCCCCATTCTGATGTTCTTCCATGCATGTGTGCACATATCCATGCTCAGGACACCATTTCTAGTTCTGTTCACAGATCCTAGCAGAAGCTTATAAGGGAGGTGAAGTATGTTAATCTCCAAGTCCTGTTTGTCTGCAATAACCCTTTGGAAGACTGAGGTGCCAGGGCAGGGATGTGGTGAGGAGATAGCATTTTTTTTTATACAAAGCAATTCTATTTCCTCTTGAGAACAGATTCAAGTTACAGTCAGGTTGAGCTTTGCCAGGGAATTGCTCACATGATTCTACCAGGGCACTGCTCCAGCTGTTCCACTGTGGAACAAAACTGTTTCACCATGAGATTACCAGCTTCATCAGACCTTAGATAGGATCCACCGACATTCATCAGTTCCTGGAGAAGTTGCCACAGAGAGTCCAGGCTCACACCTTTGGATCAAATTTTGCTTCTGTATTCTCCCTTAACATCTACTTTTCTAAATAAGCCCTCAATATGAAAGTAGAACTGGTTTTTGAGCTATGCTTTCAAAAGTTGGAGGAAATACCTTTTCCTAACACCTTTTCCTAACACAGTGGTAACATGCCTTGAAAACTTGCTTCAAGTTTGAATTTAACATCTTAATAATTAATCAAAAATAACAGGAAACACAGATTGTTTTAGGTGGAGTTATTTGCAGACCTTCCCTCTCCATTAATGCCTGGTTTGCAGGGGCTACCAAAGGATTCTAAAAATGCAGAGTCTCGTCATTCCCTTAATTGGACTGTCTTGTAAAGAACAGAGAGTCACAAGTACAGGAGTTCTGTGTGTATCTCAATTTTTTCTTCCCCTGAATAAACAGCAGAATACAAATACTTCCTCTGGCAGACCTCGTTCTATTGCAAAGCTTTGTAAGACAAGCTATATTCTACAAGATATAGACAAGATATATTCTACAATAATAATTATACTTCATATTTCTACTGCGGTTTCTCTTCTGAAAGCCCCAGAATTGTCCCTAGGTTTTCTTCACCCATGAGAATTTTTACCTGATTCCTGTTGGCTGCTTTGAGGGGGATCCAATTCTGCACATGCTTCTACTGCAGGATTGTCTTTGCTGGAGCACGGGCGACTGCCACTCAGACATGCAGGGGATGTTGCTTGCTGAACTCTGTCCTCTTCGGCATCTTCATGACTTCTGTACACCCACTGGTACAACCCCTTTCAAGAGATATAAGCTTCAGCTAGGACCTCAAAATGCCCAGTCTCCAAATGTTTGCACTACAAAGGTGAATCTAGCTATCAGTTCTATATCTTCTAAGTGGGCTGAAATATCAGCATTTCCCCAACTTTTCTCTGAACTTCAGAGAACATAAAACTTGGATCAATAGTTGGGTGAACTTCTATCATTATTAACTGTTAATAATTTTCAGTACTGTATGCAGTGTATTCATGAAATTATTTTCATATTATTTGTAGGTATTTTGCAACTATAGGCAACTGGAATCAGGTCACCTCAGTGATAGCAGGACCCTGGTATAGAAGGAAATGAGTCAAACACGAGAAACAGGTGTTCTTTTTCTGACTATTTAGTGAGCATAAAAGCACAGTAAAAGGTGAGGGCAGGCATTAATGTAGCTCTTTTGAGGTTTTGCATTCATACCAACACTTCCTGTTGCCTGGTCCTGTAGGCTGTGAAGTGCTCCAGAACGTCCTTGTAATTTCCATGTGTTGCATTATTCCCATTAACTTTCAAAATACACTGCCCTGGATGAAGGCCTACGGCTGCAGCCTCAGAACCTGAAAAATAACAAGAGAATTTAGACAGAAATGACACCTGCCGAAGGATGAGACTACTGGAAAGTTTGCAAAACTCGCAAACTTCTTGTAAGAAGAGCTGGGTCAGTACTGTCATGCCTTTGCTACTTAGCCCTTCATCAGAGAGCTTTGTTATGTAAGGGTATCACCATGTGTGTCCCCTTCATGTTTTCAGTAGTGCTGGGAAAACCAGGGACCTCCTAGCTCCAAAGGCATTCATGCTAGTAATTGTCATTTCTGTGGGAAATAGTTTGGGATTCCTACACGGCTCTCTTTAGCCTTATGGTTACATTAGCTGAGGTCTTGCTTATGTATAAAGTGTTATATTTGTTCCAGCCATCTGAAAGACAGAACACTTGGATGGTACACAGTTTGCCACAGAAAAAGACTGTGATGTCAAATGCAATTTGTCTTTTCCAGGTAAAATCCTGAAAAAGGACAATCTTCCTAGGTGGAACTTCCAGCTTGCACTCCAGACTGTGAAAAAGTGGTTACAAGTGCTGCTATGAAAGGGTGTAATAAATGTGTGTCCCTGGGAACGCTCTCCCTGGCTGCTGCCTAAGCTAACTGCATTCAGCTAGACACATGCACGTGCTGTGAGGCAAGGGAGTGCTGGATGTCTAAAAGGACATATTTTCTGAATCTGCTTAACATCAACGTTAAAGCTGCCTTTGCTTGTAACTCAGTTAACATATCAGGTTCCAAAGTAATAAGTATCTCCGTAAAATTGTGTTTTCTCCTTTTAAAAAGATCAAGGAGAGTAGTTTGGCTCTGTCTTATATTGGTAAATTGTAGCAATATATGCCTATGTAAAAGGAGAACTACTTTCCAAGTCTTTTGTCATATTTTGGGATGTCCAGATCACGTTACAACTTGTCTACCAACCTGCTGATCCCACAGCAGCTTCACTACCCAGTGACCCAAATTGTGGCTGAGTACAGGCAAAAATATTGAGGAAGCACAGACAGCATTACCCCTCAACTTTTTCTCAACCATCTCACTTTTATGGGGATTTTTCCCTGTGGCTGTTAAGCTTTACCTTAGCAGTCTCAGAAGAAACAAGGGTAGGGTCACTAAAGCAAGTGAATTTCTAGCTTGCAAGACCTCAAGTGATAAGGCCTTCTTAAGAGTATGTGGTTTGCAATTGTGGATTGCAGCATTCAAGTTCCTTCCAGTGTAGAATTAAATTATTCCTTGTATTGTGTTGATGGGATTAGAGACCCAACACTCAATTCGTAAGACTTACATCACTGTCTTAGAAGATAGTTAGATGATAAACACATTGAGGCAGGAAAGCTCACCCTGTTCTATGGTTATGTGTGATTTTCGTCTATCATGGGCCTCTGTCACGGTGWCACTGTGGTCACTAAATACGTCAGAACTTGTATAGAACAAGTTGGACAATGAAACCTGGATCTGTCTTCATTGAAATATGCACACATACACACATTCTATATACACGTGTGTATCTGTTGCTGTACTCCCAATGTAGCTGTACCACAGAGCTTCTACTCACCTCTTCCTACTGCATGAACATATGGTGGTGCTGCTCCCCGTATCTGAAAGCAAAGTGCTTCAGGACAATCTGGGATTTTAATAACCCTAAAAATAAATGAAGGAAAAGAAAAAAAGCACAATTTTAAGTTAGGTTGCCAGAGCTCTGGACAGTTCTTAGTAGCATCTTTCCCCAGCATTCACAGCTCGGTTTGGATGAAAGAGAGCACCCACAGTGTTTACAAATAAATAACAAATAAACAGACCTGAAGAAATACACTACATCTTCAATCCTCAAGGCAGATGGGAAATTTTATTTGTTAATTAAAATTTGGCACTTCTTAATTTATTACATCTTTAAATGAGTAACACTTGACATAAACGTGCTACGGCATTTATATTCACTCCCATTTCTAGGCAAACTTCAGCGCAGCTATGGACAAGACATTCTGGACTAGAATTCAACAACAAATGATCATTGAGACGTTCAGTTCTATGGCACATTCTGCGATTACAGAATCTAACAATACACAAAACAGGACCCAACTCTCATTATAAGAGACAATAATTATTAACAGGACCAACTCTCATTATAAGAAACAATAATAGACCGAAAAACTGTAAGAGCTGATATTGTTCAGCTGTAGAAGTACTGCTTAGTAACTGACATTTCTCAATAATCTTCTCTGTCTGCCCATCTTGGCACTTACTCTTTTGGTTTGGTGGCTACCAGAAGCCTGAGTGGCCTTCGAGAGCAGAAGGAYTGGGATAAGATGGTTTCCACTTCTGAAAACGGGCGTAGGAATACTAAATCCTCATTGATGGAATAGATTTTTCTTCCTGCTTGCAGGCCGGCCATCTGCAAATGGAACAAACACCACAGAGCACTTTGGATCACTGGGGGGCAACTCTGAAAGCTCAGGCTTCAAGGTTCAACTGCTCCCTACTTATGGACATTTCTAGGATTACTTTCATACGGAAATACTCTGTAGTGTTGGCTCATCAAGTCATTTGTCACTCCCCTTTAAAGTTTTCTGCATTTACAGAAAGCAAAGTGATTTCACCAGTATCCCTAGAAATATGGCACTCTACAGATATATCTTGTTTTGCAAAGCATAAATCTAGTACTTTTTTGCTACAAATTTTTAGGGGACTATTCAAAAAGGAGACTATAAAAAACAAGGGGTGGGGAATTACAACTAAAAACTGTGGGACTATAACAGACTGTCTGTGACATTCATGAGATGCAGAAGTGTGACTTCCCACCTCTTGGGCACAAGAGCCACGGAGAGTTTTTAACCATTAGCCTTGCAAAACCAACCCATACCCAGTCACATGAGTAAATGTAACCTGCTTTGAAATGGTGATAAAATAGAGCAGTAAATGTCTCTGCTTTAAGTGAAGTATTAGTTCTTCATTAGCCTAAAAAGGATTTTGATTTTAATTCCTAGTTTTTGCACCGAACTTTTAGTTATTTGGCAATGGTCACACAGGAAGTCAGAGACAGATCCAATGACAAAGCTGAGTGGGCAGAGGCCCACTGGACAATAGCCTTAAACATATCCCTTGATGATCTCTACATTTGGACTAGGTGTCAGGCATCAAGGAACCATTAAAATATTATTAATATTAAATTGTCAAATTCCCAGGTTAGAATGACTTCCTACAGCTTCAAGGTTCAGCAGTTGAATTTCTAAACGTGGCAAAGCTTTTTCTATTCTGCCCGGAAACCGATAAATTTCTTGACTTGAGAAAGGAGGTCCACACTGCACTACTGTCATTACCCTCTGGCTCAGAGAGATGCAGACTTCGTTCTTTGCTGGAATAGTACTATTAGATCAAAAGATGGGCTCGTGGTCACATTTGTCTTGAAAGAACATGAAAAAGATTCCTGAGAGAACGTGTGCTCCTGTTGTCTTAAAACACAACAGATTTGCAGGCTATTCCCCAAGCTTCCAGACAAAGAAAGGGCAGAAGGATTATCTGGCAGGCAATGGTTCACAGCCCAGGTTTACATTAATAACATTTTTGGCCAACCTATGTTGATTGTGAGCACTAGATAAAGCACAAGATTAGTTTCTTGCGTGACCACAAGCCAAATGAGAATCAGGAATACTGAAATAATTTAATTCTAACACTAAACTTCAGTTCAAAATTCCTTCCCCTTTGACATTCCCGACTTGCTAAAATCAGTCTGTCCACTTCAGCTGTTTCCATCAAGCAAGTTACCTCAGAGTTATTTGTAGTCTAAAGGAATAAGCCACAAATTAACATGGACATTCAAAAATTCCTTAATGGTTGTCCTGGACTTTTAATTAGAAGTTCTGTCCTGTGTGCTGCCACAATTTACTGTGAAATCCTGGACAATTTAGCTCTCATTAGTCATTTAGCCCTCTCTTTTCCTTATCAGTTTATCTGTGCCTTATTTTGGTAAATGAAAGCTCACCGATTTGGTAATGTGTTATCCACACAAGGATTCTGTAGGGATAAATGCGTGATTAAGAAATACTCAGATCCTATGATATTTGGGCCATCTAGGTGCTTCAAAGAAACAAAGCAAATATATTCTGTAGAACTCTTAAAAAATTCCATGGAGAGAAATGACTGCAGCTTTTTAAAGAAAACGAATTACATATCTAAAAATACAGCTTTCACTCAAAAAAGCCTGTTTCCCATTGAACACTTTTGCTATCCTAAAAGAGTATTACATTCCCTCCCTCCTTAAAGTAGAGTTGCTAAGGAACCTAAGGTAAGCTCTCATCACACAGATACTGCTCTCATCCTATCACTTATCAGTAATATTCAAGTTACCCAGTAATGCCAAAACACTTATCCATTTACAGAAACAGCTTATTACCACGAATTGCAGAAGACAGCCATCTTCTATTAGCTGCCTTTAAAAGGAAACAGATTTTAAAAGGATGGTTTGTAGCTTTTCTAAGTATTCAAACATTCATGGATGCCAAAATATGAATGTGAGGTCCTACCTCAGCAGAAGACCCTCGTCGAACTGACTTCACCACAATTGCTTTGTTCTTTTCTTCTATGTCAAATCCATAGTCATCCTCTTCTGGTAAAATCTTAAATAGAGCACAACATTTACACGTATTTGTGCTTCATAAACATGCAGTTCACAAAAAGACTGGTGAAGACTGGAGATGAGAAATTAGACTTTTCATTGCAAGCCACAACTGATCTGGACTTCTGTCTTCAGATGGAAAGGGACTACGAGATCATTTGGTCTGATCTCCTACATAACATGAGCCATAAAATTTAATCTAGTTATTTCTGCATTGAGCCCTTAATATATACTAAACGTGGTTTTCCAGAGTTACTTGCTATGATCTGCAGTCTTTAAAAAGTAAAGAATGCATTCCCACCCCTGAGAGTTTGTTCCAATGGCTAATCAACTCTTCCATTAGAAACTACATTTGGTTTTAACTCCTAGCCCTTCATTCTTCATTAAACTTTCATTTTTAGATAACGGAATTCATCATTATTCAGTATTTTCCAGTGGTGAATGCACTACAGATAGAGTATTGTAGTTTATTTATTTTTCAGAATACATGCCACATACCTGATCATGAATGATCTGCGTGCTTCTCAGCTTTCAGTTTAAGATAAATTGCAGATCTCAGGCCTACCTGTTACAGATCAAACTACACACTAGCTCATTCTACACCATAATGGCAGTCTGATGGCTAAAATCCTATCTGAGCAGTGAGAGAACAACTCCTGACCTCTCAAGTCCTTCCTCCAGTGACAGGCAYGTAAGCTTTGTGCAAGGGAAAGAACACAAGCTCCATACCCTGTGCTCACTTCGTATCTTATGTGCTTGACAGAAGCCTTCATAATTCTCACTCACAAATTTCTGCTTCCTCTTATTTGCACTGAGGTAATACAGACCTGCCCTATACATATTCTTTAAAATCATATCAATCATGGCAAATACACATTTCACTTATCCTTTTCTAGTGGTTTATTAACAATGAGTGAAAAGCTTAACAACTCACTTCCCATTATAGAAAAATAAACCAAGTCTAGCCCCGGGAACTGGACAAGTGGAAATTCTAACTGATAAACATCTTGCATGTGAGCAAACATTACATATTTAAGAACCATCTCATAAAAGAGAATTGAGTTAAGAGGAAATAGAAAGCTACTCATAATCTAGCATGCCACCGGGGAAAACAAATTATGCAGAATTGTTTCCTTGCTTCTACTGATTTCTGCACTATTTTAAAATCTGTTTTTCTTCCTTTGAAGTACATCCTATCAGACTATACGCTTTGTCCTTTTACAGGAAATTACCTTGGGGAAAAAAAAAACAAAAACAAAGAACTAAAATGATTCTGTCCTGCAGGAGCCATACAGTCATGTTAAAATAATGTATTGCATAATATATGGGGAAAAGTCCTTATCAGCTGATGTTTGTATTAGAGGATGCAGAGGAAAGTAAGAAGACTGAAAAGTAAATTTGACATTTTTGGCTATTTTTAAGTATTTTCAGAAGCAATGCTAGTAATGCTTCTTCAATAAAGGACTTCAGAGAATTGAGTAAATTGCTGGTTCGATTTTTAACATTTTAAGTGTATGAGTTTCAGCCCAACATAGTATGTACTTTTATCACTTCAGTGAAGTTGATGAAGTTTAGAATTCCAATCTAGATCTCCAATTCAGCATGGGAATTTTGGGAACACTACAGTAAATGTACACAGCCATCATCTTCAGAAATCATTGAGAATCTTTTGAGTCTTGTGGGACTCCATCATCATGTGTTCAATTAAACACCTCACACAACTTTGATCRTGGCCAATCTCTACAGGAAACTCTGCTTTGTCTGATACTCAGATCCAAGCAATCAGCTCTGATTTGTGATATTGTCAGTTTGGTGCTGATCACAAGTTCACAGCACACTGCAGTAACCAAATCATAATGCTTGAAGTCAGACCAAAATCCAAATGCTCTTCAACTATGCAAAGAATGCTGTATATTTTTTCAATTTGTCAAGATTACATCCTTCAATGAAAAGTAATTGTCCAAATAAATAAATACTAGATTTTGTTTGAATTGTGTTGTTCCAGACGGAAAGCAATTTGTTCCTTCCCATTTTTAACAAGCATTTACCAAGGTTTCTGTACTTTTCTGTTTTCAAGGGCAAACTCTCCTGTGATAGAGCAAACTGAGATGAAGGGAATAGGAAAACCTATCCACTAAACAGCTGGATTTCACGACAGTAGAAGAGCATATTTCAAAAGCCAGTGCTGATGAAATTCCAATAAACCTCCCATGGTGGGATCAGAAGATGTGAAGGATCAATGCCCTTTCATGAGTGTAGAGGTAAACAGTGATGTTCCACAGACAGCAAAGCTTTAGGATTACAGCTACTCATAATTGCTAAACACAGCATAAAGCAGAAGCCAGGCCCACTTGTTTTGGGGGTGCGTTTAATGAATTTACCATACTGCTTTTGCAGAGTCTTCACAAGCCCCTTCACTCAAGGGACTGCTTATTTATGCATGCAAATGAAAGCAGCTCATCACGTAAGCATGAGTACTACGCATTTGACACAAATCTGCACCCTCTAAGTAAGAGATTTTTTCCTCAGCACGTGCTGTTCATTTGTTTTCTGTCTGAGATGGAACTGCATTTTGACAAAGCATGACTGATGCCCTTCTGAAGTACAGTAACAGCATTCATATGGCTTAGAGAATGATGTCCCGAAATATCTGTGCTCTTTTCAGTCTTAACTTGCATCTGAATTTACCTCACATATAATCACATACCAACACATACCTCACAGTGTTTGAACTGTGTCTGAATTTAAACTGCGTTTAAACTTGATGACAGATCTCTTCCAAGACAGCAGAGCCCACTACTTTTTCCTCCACCATGCTGACACCGTGGTGCCTGCTGAAACATCTCCATCTCCCAGCTGACTTCCAGACTCTGGCGAGGGCTTCTTGGGATAGAAAGAGCTTGAGCTGCGCCCTGGAAACAGGCAGGGACTTCCATGCACCTGCATCTGTGTGAGCTGTACATCCAAAGTTCCCAGTACAGCAGGATGATCACAGCCTACAGAAAGGGGCCTGCAGTGTAAGGGTTTCCCTTGCCACTAGAATAAGTTACACAGTCTGCCTAGAAAAAATGGCAGAGCAACAGAAGTTGGAGATGCACAGCAAAGCAGGTCAAGAATTAGGAGCATTTATGCAGTGAGGAAAGATCTAGCTACAGGTGCAATTGCCTATTTTAATTCTACTCTCTCCTAATTTTCCTTCTTATTCTCCCCTACTATAAAACAATATCAATTTTGCAGAATCATCAGGGTTTACACATTAACGTATTTCTTACCAGAAGATTCTTTCCCAGGATATTTTCCACAAGCTTGAAGTCATTACGTAATTGCTTGCTCTTGGAACTGGTGCCCTCCATCTCCTCATCAGCATAAAAGCGGAAATATAAGGACTCATCCTTAAATTCACTTTTCTCCAGGACTGGAAACGATATATATGAAATACATACACGCATTTGTGTGGACAAAGAAAGAGAGAAACAAAGAAGAAAGTTAAAGGAAATTCTAACTATTTCCCCAGTCTTTACAGAACACAGATGGGATGCTTCCCTATCAGTCAGTTTCTCAGCTCTGTATTTWTAAGCTAACACTGCATTTTAGGATAATAATTTTCTTCACAGTGCATAGTAACTCATGACATGTTGTTACCTCCCTGGCATGCAGAATGTATGTAAAATGAAAAAGAGCCTCTTGGAAGGAAGATGATGCTCCTTTCCCACATCCAAAGGAATATGGTAAAACAAAAGAGCCAAGAGGGGTAAAGGAGCTATGTAAAAGCATGTAAGGTGTCCACATAGACTAAAGCTCTTCAACCTCAAAAAAAAATTTAAGAAGGAAATGAAATCTATAACATTCTGGAAGGCATGAAAAAGTTCTTTACCAGTTTTTCAAATACAAGACCTGGGGGCTTCAAATAAAAGCTGCCAAGTGAGGAGCAACTCCTGCATTCAACATGTACTTATGCAAAGGTTTCCTCAGCAAAGGATGCGATAAATGCCACAAGTTTGCATGGACTCAGAACAGATCAAAATCTTTAAAAAAGACACCAGTTATGCCTACATTATTATGAACTGCTATGGAAATTCTCCATTAGTTATTTACAACAATCTGCTCTCTAAACCACTGTTTAAAATAAAGAGACTATTTGTTATCTATTGCTGAAACTGAATGTTTCATTTGACAAACAATGTACTCTTAGGACTTGTATGTCCTATTTGATACTGAGAGATGTGATGTGTTAGCTTCCCCCGCTTGAGGATGGATGATGTCTAACTTGGCAATTTGGCACTTCAGATTTGCAAGCCTCAGCACTGAAGATTGTGCTTGTTAACCAAGAGGCAAGAACTAGGCAATTTTACTTTATGTTTGTATTTTTTGGGTGACATTTCAGGACTGTATTTGGCTCGTGCATTGCTCAGATGGCTCTGGAAGAGATGCAGTGAAAAACATGCTCCTTCTAGCTTGTCTAAACCCTTCAGTGCTTCCCATCATCTATCAGCAAGGGGCTTTATTTGGGAAGGTAGCAGGCTTAGACATGTATTACTTTGASAACTGTATTCTAGAAGGACCTGCAGGAATGCCTGCAAGTCATGTACACAGTACAACCCAGAAAAGTAGCCTAAGTGAAGTAAGAGCTCCTTTAAGTGGCTGGGGGAAGCAAGAGTGATGCATTACCATGATGCATGAAGCCRTTATTGCACAGTCCCACACCCAGAGCGACAGCTTCCTCGCGAGTCTGACAGTCTCCCTAGAAACAGGAGAAGAGTATTACACCTCCGATGATTTTCTTGGCTAAATTATTCCCCTTCCCCACCGCAGAGCTCTTAGCCATGAAATTAGCAGGATGATCTRTGTAGGGAACAGTATCAAGGCATTCAAACAGGTATCCCATGGTTCAAACACTGTTTGCTCCTACAGACAGCATCTCTCCCCCCTACAAAAACCAGTTGAACAAGGACTGGGACTGGGGAAAGATTCAGTATTATCTCAGTGTAAAGACATTTTATTTGAAATCCTAGTATTGGACTTTAGGACTCAATAGCCACACACAATAAAACTCCTTCTTAGGAGTTGGGAGATCCCATCCATATTCAACTGCAGTGGCAGTTTGCTTACACAGCACACTACCAAGGCTTCAGTTTCTCACTACCTGAAGCCTTGCCTGAGTGTAGTCGTTCAAAAGAGGTGCCAAAGGTGACGTGCAAATATACAGATTTCCCTGAAATGGCAGCTGTAAGCTTTACAAAAGAGCCAAGAGGGGTAAACTCATTTAAATACAAGGAATGCCTCTTTTTCTCTATATAGCTGCTAATTTGCAGCCACAAGTGAAGACTTTACAAAYATGGTTGTTAGACCAGTTGTGAACAGTGCTGGTAAAAAGCAGTAGGCTCTATGGGTCTTACAGAGATTGTTAACACTGGTCCCTTGATGTGAAATGAGCAGCCACCCTGTCCCAGAGGCACTCAGGGGAACCTGGGGTCTGCTAGCTCAGCGAGAGCAGTTACTCAGCTCATTCCTTGCTGCTGTGGCAACAGAAGGAATTTCAGTACTTTCAGTCCTAATTAACTAGAAGCTGTATCCTACACAAGTATTACACCTTTTCTCCTCCACCTGGAGAACTAGATATGCAAAAGCTCTCGCAGCAGCTGCAGGGTTGTGTACTGACTTCATTTTGATCAACCCAGCAGCTTCTGATCTTGTCAGCAGACCATCAGTCCTACTCCAAATCCTGCTAAGGAGAGCAGTAGTTATTTGCCAAGCAAATGCTGGCAAAGCCCATCACTACGGTGCATCAGCATTACTTATATACAGGATAAAACAGGATCAACTCTACTCAATCTGCAACACTTCTGGCTCTAGTTAAAGAGGCAGAGAGCAGAAAAGGCAAAACATTTACAAATCAGGAACTAAATATTGTTGTCTTGGTAGAAAAGGGATCAAGGCAGTTCTAAAAAAAATGCATGTAATCACACAAGGAAAGCCAAGAAAATAGCTTTTATAAACCTGAAGTTTAACTTTGGCTATAAACTAATTTCGAGTCTTACAAGTCTTCCCTCATTTTCAACATCCTGTCACGACACAATGCTGTATGCTCACGTTGTGTTATTCTACTGGATAAGTGGGTAGTTTATTTACAGTGGCTAGGATTTAAAAATCTAATTTATTCTTTCAACCGCAAATAAACTGGAGAAGTGCCTTCTAATGTTACCATCTTAAACCTTTAGCAATCTACTTTTGTTCTAGGCAACAAAATCTTTGTGTAGGAAGGGTTTAAACCAGACTTGGCTATTCCTGATGACATTACCTTGGTCTCAAAACATTTCCCTGGCAAAACAGCATTCTCTCATTAGAAAATATACCTTTAATTCTCTCAGCTCACTAAATACTTCTAAATGTTACATAGAAATCTGCCTAAATACAATAAAAGCAGTAACATAAATCTTCAGAAAATAGGACTGTTTACAGTCATCAATCTTGACAAAATGCATCTCAATCTTTTCATACAGAAACTAGATGTGAAACTAGATACACTAGTTTTGACAGGATAGTTCAGGTTTATTCAACACAATCCCTCCATTGGAGTCATCAGAATTACAGAAACAGTTTACAGTCAGCAACACAGTGAAGAAGCATGTCCAGAGCACATTACTATTACTCTTACAACTACTGCCACCAATACAATTACTATTATTGCTGTAATGATAGGATCTCTAAAGCCCTAATTATGGTGGTTGCTTGCTTTGGCATGTGTAAACTCAGCCATTAAAATGGTCTCTGACCAAGAATGTTTACAGCGCCCTTGGAAGAGGAAATAAAGAAGATGCACACAGGTAAGAACAAACCACTTTTAAATTTTCTGTTGATATGCTGAAAAAGTAAAGTTTCAGGATTATAAAGTGTTCCTTAGCAAAGAGCAGTATCTTAAACTTTTTTTTACCTGTGCAATAAGCCAGTCCACTAGTTTACTTGCAGGGATGACTGACTTGTAGGTCTTCAGGTGGTAGTCACGGTCTCTAATTAAAGAGAGAGAATTCAGGGAAAATCAGGACAAAAAGGTATACATTTCTTTTACATTATAAACCTGTATATACTATTGTGACCTCCTACTAATAAGCAGACATCTTCCTTCTCTAGAACGTTTTAAACTTTTCTAATAACTAGAATTACGAAGCTACTTCTGATCAACACAAAGCAGTGTTATTTAAAGTTTCTCTTGATGTTGTTTTGAGCCACCCTCAGGGAACTCGTATTCCTGCCAAAGGCAACCAGGACATTCTTTTCACAGATGCCCTGAGCTGCTGCTGTAACTCAGGTTAAAATACCACCACCAGCAGTTCCACTAAAAATCACACTCTTCCGGCTGGAAATAATCCAATTTCCATCCAAAATCCATTCATGTCCAGCTTACATCTTTTGGCTCAATACCAGTCTCACCTATAGGCTTCAGTAGTTCCTCTCTAGTGTTTACCCATTAATATATTCATAGACGGGGACTCTACACATTTCCTCTGTGCCTCCTTTTTGTGAGGCTCATGGAATAAGGCAGTTTTTAGTCTATTTTGTGGAGATTTTCCTGATTCTCCACACTTGTCCAGATTTTATTTCTTTTAGTAAAATATCACACAGTAGCCAGACACAAATAGACTATGCAGTATCCTTCTATGGCATTAGGTGATTTCAGTCATTGTAAATAAGAAGGGCAGTGTCCAGTTCTTATAACACAACCAACACCAGCTCACACCCAGGCCCTGTGACAGCCACACTGATCCTGAAAGAAGGAAAAGGAACCCCATTGTAATTTGATGCTTTTTGCAGTTTTCTTTCATTCCTCTTCTCAAAGCCATGGAGATAATTGATGGCTTTAGCCTTTTGTGAAATATTTTTAAAGAATTTTGATACAAATATAAGGACTGTGCTGCTCAGAACATTGAGCTCTAACACCTTTCACCTCCAAGGTCACTGGATTTAATCCAGCTCGGAAGAGCATAAAAGCCATTTCAAGACTGTTTACTGGCCCATGCGAAATAAGTTTCATGGTCTTGATCCAGTTCCTAGTTCCACAMCACAAAAGCCATTACCACAATTAATTTGCATTAATTGGCGCCCTGTTGTTGAGAGTCTCACTAGAGGGGCCAAATGCTGAATGTGCTATGAAGAATTAATTCCTCTCTCACCCTTGGGGGTGGTCCTTGTATTTGAAGCTTGAGCTCCACTGGCATGACTGTGCAAGGAAGCACAGCTACTGGGACTGTTTTACAGTCTGGATGTATCCATGAGCCAGCTCAAGAGAAGACTTAATTCTTCAGTTCTTCAAGTCAGCCTCTTTCATTAGCACCACACTATCTGATATTTCCTTTTCACTAAAAATCTAATATCCAAACACCATCTAAAACCCATCCTACTCATGTCCCTTTTACTAATCATCTACAGATACAAATATGCTGTGACTGGCTGTTGWAAATAAATGCAGCAGAAATGTTTGTGTGTTTGCAGAACACAGGGTGCGAGAAGTAAGAAAGAAGTAGGACTTTCAGAGCTTGGAAAAAACCCAACAAATCATGACAGCATTTCCAGAAATATGTGTCCTCAGAACAAAAGCTGTCCTCATAGCGCTTACACAGTTTTCAACTCATCTTCTTTATAATAAGAAGCAAGAAAGATTTCAATAGTAATGTCATCCTTTTAAGAAAGCCAGATAATAAATACAAGGGGCTCATGAAGGGGAACTTACTTTACCACTGGATTATACAGGCAGTGCAGTCGGCAGTACAGCCTCACCCCCTGAAGAAGGGAAGATACATAGTGTTAGCAGTTTTTTCCTTTTCAAAGAAACACTGACTAGCTAATGCTAGCAAAACCCTGGACACTTATGTCTCTACTCAGCTGGAATTATCTATTGATTAATACTGATATTCAAAACAGAGGATAACTCTCAAACATTCTTTCTTCTTTCCCTGCTTCCAACAGTTAAAAATCTGTTCTTTTATCTCTAATCTCCATTCCAACACTTTCTCCATTAATTCTTCCTCACAATTAACCCATCAACCAATGTCCATAAGAAAAAGATCAAATTTGTTAAAAGGTATGTGGGCAGATATGGGAACAACAGAACTCATTTGACAGACAATTATAAGGAACAGTTAAATACTGATCTCTTCTATCACCCTGAATCACCACATCCAGATTTGCAGCAGACATGTTTCAAGAAGACCTTTTGTTACTCTATTAGTATTGCAGTCAGCAGTCTTGGCTGCAGTCACAACCCTACTGTTATTCTTTGCTAAACCCAGCTTCCTCTCCTGAAGTGAGCGTCTCCTCCAGCGTTAGGAAAGACAGCTTAATACAACCCAGACCAACAGCAGTGGGGATCTCCTACACAGGAGGATGACATTCAACAGGTCGATGACATTCAGAAGGAGAGCAAACCTCTTGATGCAAATCACAAAATTCCAAYGAAGAATGACAAGACAAACCTTGGACATGATGTCTTCCAACTCACTTCTTGGCTTGTATGTTCCATCATCATAGCGAAATCTGTACATCACCTGTTCATTCTTAAACTGGTGCTTATCTGAAACTAAAACATCAGCGTGATAATAAAAATTAGTCTTTTCCCCCACTATGTTTCTTACGGCCAGTTGGTAAAAACTGGATTAGGCAGACACCAAAGTACCAGCACACAGTCTGAGATTTAGTCTGCCCCTCGCATTGTGGGCAGGAWAATTTTTCAGAGGGCAGACACCAGAAATTCTTAAGACCTTCTCTCATTACACAGGACATCCTGGTCTCTCATTAAGATTCCTGCTTTTGATCATATTTTCCCTTAATTTCACAGGATAAAAAAAAATTGCAGGTTCCAACAAATCCCCTTTTGTCTACAGTTGAATCTCTAAGCTGTGCAAGCTATTGACTTCTTTGAGTGTCTGCAGGCTCTGGATTTATGAATTTCTAAATCAAATTGATTCTCTAAATTTTTAAATCCAATTGAGAATTGAGTTAGCAGAAAGTGCTAACCTGTATGGCACAGAGATCAGGTTCTGTGCCCTCTGACAGGTACCAGTACCTCCCCGTCAGCCGTTCCAGACAGAATAGTCAGAACTGAGGAAGATAGGGAGGAAATTGCAGGATAAAACACACCGTGGTCAGCATTTAGCAATCTACGGCCCTSCTTCTCAGGCAGGCTGAGAAATCAGCAATGTTATACCAAGTGAAAACAAAACACAGAAGATATTGCCTCATGCAGAATGGGGTAAATGGCTTCATTATGGTGCTGATACATTCTTGCTCCATTACGAGACACATAACAGGATACTTTCATGCTTAACGAGCTATCAAAATCTACAGGGGTATTTCCTWAAATAAATGCATCATTACAAATACCTTCCAATGTTTAACAGTAGCTTTCATGGAAGACATGAGTATCAGGAACTCTAAGGTCACACTAAAACCAAAGCAGATGCATCTTACTGAGCTCATTTGAATAAGGAGAACAGCAGATGTAACAGCACAACTTGGAAGTGTAAATTTGTGTTTAGAGAAAAAGAACACTGATGAAAGTGTTAAAGTATGAACTTAGGGCAAGGTAATCAGTCAGCAGGAAATAACAAGTCTCAGGAGAATTTCCGCACCAGCGGTGCAAGTGTTCACATTAAGAATGTMGGCAAGTAAGGGTGTGAGTGACAAAGAGAATTCCTCATCCCAAGGGGGATCCCTACACAYTGGAGCCAGAGTGTTTCAGTTATCCAAAACCAAGTACTCAAAAGTCTTCCGCACTTTTGAGCTCATGCTCCAAACTCTTCAAAGTCTGAATGTGTCTTAAAGTACCTCTTGGTACGTGGGGGTGGAAGTGTATGTGCGTGAAGGACTACAGGACTGCTTCCAATGGATTTCTTGATGTGCTAATYAAAAGAAGCTAACATACAGAATTTCCTTACAGTGTTACTGTCACCTGAAAGACAAGTTTGTCGTGCTGAGTAACCACCAGATTAAGGAAGACTAGCTAATATAAATGGTACCCTTATTTAAACTGATTTCAAAGAGACTTTATGAAAATGTAGACCACTGGTGACTTAAAAGCCAACTACAGTACTCCTTTGATGTACATTTTGCAGCTAAACTCACCTGAATGCTGAAATTGGGATATTTGCTGTTTAACTAGAGTAGCACTATGTTGCTTTGTCTACATAACACTATATGAGAACAGTAGGAAACAGCAGAACAAATCTGAGTTTAAACAATGTCACATGGAAAAAGACCTTTTAGTAGAAATGCAGGTAGCACAGAAATTTTTTGAACAATTATACTGCTGTCACGCAGCACTTTTGCATGCACTGTCCTACATTTCTAAAACACCCYTCAATGCAACACTTTAAGGCTATCAGCTGGGTGAGATGAAGAAATGTGATCCCTTGCTACTTTAAAGAGAGAGGTTCTTGCCAAATGAGCTGGAGACCGAAGAAATCTCCAACATCTCTTTCCTTTGCAACAAGCAGTGTCATTTAAATGACCCATCATCTGTGCCCCAGTCTAAAAGAGCACTGCTCCACTCTTCTCTAGATTGCTGATGTCTCATGTGCAAAGCTGTATTTATGGACTGCAACATATTTTCAAACACAGGTTGTACAAAGGAATATACACCTGATATAGTTCGCAACTAAGGCGTTGCAGAGAAATCAAGCAACTACAGACATAAACACTTTCTGGATACCAAACAAGTCCTGTTTTCATGGCATAAATTTGCCCACTCACTAATCCCAAAAATCACTGAACATTTTGAGGATTTGACGGGTATGGGAGAAGAAAGTATTTGAACAACATGTGAACAGCTGCTGTAAGTTTTCCACCCTCATTTTCAGGGCATTACTAAAATCTGGTATCCTTTCATGGCACGGCACACTCACCATGATGAATGATTCCATTTTCCAACAGTGCCTGTCCCAGGTTGACCCCTTCCTCTGGTTTGCTTATCTCTCCAATCTCAGTGAGCCAGGATACAAACTCGCTGCAAAGGGGAGCAGAACACACACAGTTAGCTCTGAGTGGCAGCAGGCACTTGCCAAGTTATCAGCCAACCACAGGAGACTCCTTGAAGCAAGCATGAACTGTTGTAAACAATGGTACCTCTCTACCCTGGCTTGATTGCCAGCATTCCTGGAGGAAATGCTCTGCAGAAGATCCAGGCTCCTCCCATCTTCCCACAGCGTGCACACAAAAGGAAACATGACCTGGCTGCATCTACAAGGATGATGCAAATCCTTATCTTATGGAGCAATCCAGACATCCATGGGGGAAAAGATTAGCATGCAAGATTAACTGATGACCTTAAAAACAAGTTCAATAGTAGGGTATCCTCACTGCCCAGCTACTTCTTCTCAAGTCACCCATCCAAGTAGTGTTGGTGATTCGATTTACACAGGCTCATCTTTTTTAACTGGGTCTGATTTCTGTCCCCAGCCCCGTGGTGCAATTGCATTGGCTTCAATGGAATCACAGTAGGACTTAGAACAGAAGACTCAACCTATTGAATTCAAGCACAGAGCAGTAACAGAGAGCACAGGTCCCACTGACAGGTTAATTGAAGGTCTTTTTCTGGAGGTGGTGCCRGGCAGATACATATATCATGCTTTAATTTATACACAAAAGATGTTAAGTCTGTCTGCACATGCAGCACAAACCAAAATCTTTGTGGTGAGGGGCAGAACTGCACATATGGGCAGAATAAAAGCTAAAAAATGGATAGATATGTAGGATGCTACTCATTAGAAACAGTCAGTACAGAATGATGAATGCAGCCCTACCAGAGCCTCAGGGGACTGAGCTGTTTGCCAGGTTAATTAGCGATTATACTGGAAATGTGTTACAGTCATAGAGAGGAACAAAAGGAATATTTGAAAGTAGAGCAACATATGGGAAATGTGAGTTCAATAAAACACTTGGGTGCTTGCCAATATGCAGAAGGTTGCTGCTCAGCAAAGCCAGTATCCATGTCTCCACTTGTGGACTCTAAATGAAGTATTTTTGGTATCTTTGTATTTATCAGCACTGACTAATCTAAGCTGTAGGCATTATTTGCAGTTGCCAAAAATAACTTCAGGACTGAAAACTTTGGTTTGCTGCGGGTCTATTCTCTATCTGCCATAGTGTAGACAAAGCAGCAGTATCTATCCAACTATGCCAGGAGAAGCCCATGGAAAACAGCAGTTCTGTGAAACTGCTAAAGCCAGAGTAGTGATGATTCAGATTATCTCCTAAGGAAAGTTCATTCTCAACTTCCCAGTGATTCTGAATTGTTTCTKTAAGTATTTAAATGCTGAAACAGAATATAAACTGCAGCGAGAGGAGAAGTTAGAATGATCCTCCAGCCTCAGTGTGAAGACACAAGGCAGGCACACGGTGCAGGGCCCCCTCAGGCACCTCCTGCCACGACTGGGACCACGGGAGGTACCCGGGGAGATGCCCCATTGCTCTGGAGCTCCCCAGCAAGAGCAGTGCCTCTGTGCCAATCTACAGAACTCCAACATTGCCCAAAACTTCAGTGGAAGCTGCCCTGTTAGCCTTGCCACTTCTCTTTGTCTCTGGAGTTTAGGTGGATTGTAAATGTAAGTTTGACATGGTGAGCTGGAAAAGGAAAATAACTGAGTATTACCCTCACAGCCCTGAAGCTTCCCAGCCACGGGATAGTTTTCTTAAGAGCTGCTTTAAGATTTCMATGACATTTGATTCAGAAGCAAAATCAGCAATCATTTGATCTGAATCATTTGATCATTTGATCTTTATAAGCCCTGAAAAGTGCATAACCCAAAAACACTCCAAGAGGTTCTTAAGGAATATGCTGGACTTTTTAAGAAGCCATCGGCTCAAAGAGTGGATGGCAAAGCTTCATTCGTTTCCTCATCTTGTCTGCAGCAGTTCTCCAGTGTAAAGGAGAGTATCCTCACCTCCCAGTGCTGCCATGCTCAATTCTCATCTGACACGCAGCTTGGGACACCACCTCCCAGACACACCTTGGAAATTAAGGGACTGGGTTTCTACACCAGAAATACACAGGAAAATCCAACCCATCCAGGACTGTGCAATCTGATCAGATATGGCTGGAATCTCCTGAGGCTATCAGATCCTCTCTGTTACACACACAAGGTTTTGCAGGGCTGAAAAGAAGCACAGGCAGCTTAGCATTCACACCACACATACACATCCTTCCACCTAGATCACCAGTTACTTGCCTGAGTGGCATGAGGAGTCATGAGGAAAATGGATTTGCACTCAAGCCAGTCAGTTGCTGAAGTTAAGTTCAATAAACAGCCTTACAAATAAATGCATGTGATATCTCTGAAGATGATACTAGGATTAGATAATGCTTTTTTTCCCAAAAAAACCCCACATTTTATCTCTTGAATTATGAGTTCCATCTGATATTCAAAGGCCAAGAGAAAAATTATTTTTGTAGCCTTGGTGTTGCTCTCAGCTGCATGTAACAGAAAACCACTAAATACATCTTGGTAGAGTTATCAGTGACTCCCTCAGGCAGGAGTATCTCCAAAAATAAACGGGTCACAGCCAATATGCATTGTTCAGGGAAACCCCTGGGAATGACACAGAATCTGCCAGTCATGACTGGAACGTACTGACTGAGATGCACTCAACTGTTTTTCCCAGGACTATACCAACAAGTGGATGCTGCAAAAGGTATCAGCAGAGTTATTTGCTGTGGGAAAGGCTAGAGCATTTAGGAGAAATAATGCTTTTGTCAGAGATCAGGATACCTGTAGGTATCTCAGTCTGGGCTCAGTTAGCTATTAGCAAAGTTAGGTGAAGCCCTCACTACTGGAGCATCAGGTGGCTGTCAAGCAAACAGGCGGCAATGAGCACAACACACTGCAAGAAAACAGATATTTTAAAAGGAAAAGGAGTAGCAGGAAATCCTGGATAAGACTTGAAACTAAACATAATATCAGGGAAACCACAAGAGACTCATAYATAACAGCCCTGGAAGAAGGTATGTTTCTGACCTGGTACTTCTTGTTGCATGGAAAATAGGAAATGCCATTGCCGATGTAGAAGATCTCAGTTTTAATCCAACAAGATCAACTGTGCGAGTGGGGGATGTGTGTAAAGAAGAAAAAGCAACTGTTCTCCAGTACTGAGCAATTCTTTTTCTAACCAAAGTATCACCAAGCTATGCTAGCAGCCTGCCCTCTGTCAGGCAAACACCCGAGCACAGGCAATGCTGCCTGCAAACTGCTGTTCCCCCGACCAGAGAGGGAAGGCAAATGAATGCTGATCTGCTTCTCAGAAGTCTTTTTGTTCCCACAGCTGATGGTTTCACTCAAGAGCAGCTGAGGCGGAAAAGTCATCCCAGGCCAGCTCCTGTGAGTGCCCATGAGGCCCAGGAGGGAGGACACGTCCCCTGCACAGCCCCACGCTGCCCACGGCGACTCTTCTGCTGCCTCACACGTCACCATTCCCAGCTCATCTGCACTTGTTTTGCAATATCTAGCCTGAATCAAAGAGCCAATARAGCTCTATACTTCTAACAAACATATCAAGTCATATAATGCACAAAATTTCATTTGTGCCTGTTACATTGACAAACTGGAAACTTCTAAATACAACCTTGAAGGCTTGGACAGTTCTGCTGGATTTAAGCATCTCCTAGAAAGCATTTGCTTCTATACAAAATGGAGTACAGGACATGCCACTAACAGCCTCGAGCTTGTGGGAGTTCAGGTAGTTTTTATTACTCCTTTTGCTGATCTGAAGCAGCAGTAAAACAGAGTGAACATTCACACTATTTCACACTCATAGCCTCCTCATATGAAACAAAAATCAATGATTACTTTTAATAAATCAAAACTGTAATGGGGCTTATGGTCTTTTTAATTAAGATGCATCAAAGCACATTTGATCTGATGTAACAATATCATCCCCAGAAATTCTAGTCCACTAATTGGTGTGAAAGGACCTTTTCAATTCAAATTCTACTTACTTGCCAAGAAAGCACTTGGGAACAGTACTTAATTTTCTTCTCCTATCTTTGATAAGGTTCACTTTCTTGCTCATCATCATTTGGTACAGCTTCTCTCCTTTCTCTGCAATCATGACATAGGCATCCCTCTCCATTCCCAGTTTCAAACCTGGAATATAAGCAGAAATTCCTTCAGATCTTTAAAACCAAATAAAATGCTTGTTCAAAGTCAAAAGYTGAGGCCAAACAGCAAAAATGGTAGAAAAACAAAAATTGACTGACTTATTTTCCGTTTAAGGAAGAAATTAGGTAACTTTTCTTATCTGAATACAGAACTGTCATTGGTAAGTTTAGCACCACCGAGATGTAGCTTTTCTTCTCCATTTTAAAAAGCAGCTTTGAACTTACGGTTGTATCATATACACAAAGCAGAACTGTTTACACAACATGGAGAAAGACCAAAGCACGATGAACACAGGCCAGGGCAATCCCAAGCACAAATACAGGCTGGGACGAACAGGGATTATGAGCAGCCCTAGGGAGAAAGACTTGGGGGTGTAGATGGCTGAAAAGCTGGACGTGACCCAGCTGCAWGCACCTCCACACAGACACCCTCAGTGGGCAGCAGGGGAGGGGGTTCTGCCCCTCTGCTCTGCTCTTCTGGGACCCGTTTGGAGTGCCATGTTCAGTCTGAGGCACCCAACATAGGAAGGACACGGAGCTGCTGGATAAAGTTCAGAGCAGGCCATGGAGATGCTCCCAGGGCTGGAGCCCCTCWGCTCTGGAGCCGGGCTGGGAGAGCTGGGGGTGCTCACCTGGGGAGGAGAAGGATCCAGGGAGAGCTCAGAGCCCCTTTCGGGGCCTAAAGGGGCTCCAGGAGAGCTGGAGAGGCACTTGGGACAAGTTCATTCAGTGCAGTACAAAATACATCATCCACTTACTCTCTCTCTGCTCCCTTTCCTTGATTATAGCATCCAGCCATTTCTGTTTATCTTCTGCAGTCTTGGCCATACAGACAAACCACTTGTTTTTGGCTGTGTTGTGAATCTTCCAGCCATTTGTYACCGTGTAGCCGTTGCTGTGGTAATCTGCTGCAAAAGGCCAMAGCACAAAGCACACAGTGAGCAGGAAGCCTGTTCTAACCAAACCACTGTGGGATACTTTCAGTAAAATCATCTTTAAGAGCTTCTGAGGTGTTCCTCACTGACTGCCCATGGAACCAGATGGACTCACCACTCTGGAAGTACAAGTAGCAACAGATTGTTCTAACCGACTGAATGCTTCAGTCCTTCCCAAGAGTGACACTTGCTGGTTTCAACTCAGAAGAAGAACTAAAGTATTTTAAATACAAGGACATCAGTGAAAAGGTCTATGATGTTTGTTCAGGTTATTTGTTCTGAATTTTCTAGGGACACGCTATCTTCTTGCACTATAAGGATTTCTGTTAACATAACTCCTTATGTGTTGACTGTTTGAAGGACATAATACTAATTCCTGACTTACTACAATACAGGCAGGGGCTGGTGTGGCCTTTATGGATGAAATAAGAAACCCACCCAGTCTTCCTGCCTGCGTCAGGATATAAGAATCATAACAGAACTGCCATTCCCATATTTTGCTCATGGCCACAATCCATGCTACTAATCTGGATATTAAGACTAGTATTTAGTAACATTCTAAATGAGAAGAAGAATCAGAAGTCCTGTTATTTTAGCTGTAATAGCTTAAGATGTATAAAAAAAAAAAGATGGAGAAAAGATAGAAGTATCTTTTACTAAATTAACTTGGATTAAGAGAAAAAAAAGACAACTTCTAGATACACAAACTCTTCACAAAGTCACATCAGAAGGAAAGAATAGTGGCTGAAAGCATTTGCAGTCTTTCAACCGCCTAAGTCAGTCCAATAAGGAAAGCACTAMAAGTTTCATAGATTGCTTCAGATGTCACTAAAGGAGATTACCAGGTATTTCTGCACCAACTTCCAATAAAAGATCTGAACTTGCTGTGTGGTTAAAAGACAAAATTTAGTCACTTACCTGTTCCATCTTCCACATTCTCTACTTCCATTACTTCTGTATTTATTCGGCCCCTGAAGATATAAAGGGACCCATTGATTGATTTTGTCCTTTTAGATGGTTTTTTCCCAGTAACTCTGCAATTAGGATRAAGACTGTTAGAAAAACATAAGCAAACAGTCTAATATATACACGAACAAATCAGTCTGAGGTATGACTATTAAAGGAGGATTCCAATATAGTCATTGGTGGTATYTGACCACATCTCTGATGTTAAATAATTGGAATACTCATTCATATTCCAAGTTGGCTGTGCACCAGTGACAGTAACGAGCTTATTTTGCCAGATTATGTGAAGATGCAGGTGCTCTCAAGATTTACATTCTTGATGACTGACTGAAATGCATGAATGTCCATGAACWGCACATGGCCTTGGGATGACAACTGCAATATCACCTGACAACACTACATTTGACTCTTTTGTCTGCCTAAAACTTTGATCCATTTGTGGATCGAAGGGGAACGCTATTACTGCCTGGAATAGTTACCCCAGCACATCATGACTTCTCTCTCCTATTACCTAAGTGATAGAAATAGTCAAGAACAGAAGAAAGTTCCACCTGTGACTCAGCCCTACAGAGCAAGAGAGAAAACAGTGACTGATCAGTAACTGATCATACCTTCAACTTACAAATCTTCTGAATGGCAAAACTACAAATACAGAGGGACTCACCTGGATTTCCTCTTGCAATAGACCAGGAGATTATCAAATAGAAAGAACATTCTCTCCTGGATGTTTCCTGCTGAGATTTTTAACAAGGTCCCTTGCAGCAAGAGCTGTGTGCAAATATCTGTCAGATTCGACCCCTGAAATATAAAAAAGAGAGATTAACTTACTTTTACGAGTGCACAGTGAAGGTCTTTTAGTAACATGCTTTTATTTTATCTGCATGTCATCAAACTGTGAAATAACTGATGCACTCCTAAGGAGRAAGATCTCAATTTCTTAACATGGCTAAACACATCATGTTTTCTCTTACAAATACTTTCCTTCAGTCTTTATATACTACAATAAATCTTCCCTACCAAAGTTCCAAGGACTCTTTTCCTTAAGAGATCTTTCACTCTCAAATCAGCTGTACTGTGGGTCTCTCAAGACCATGAGCCTCCCTTCATACCTTGAGCTATCATTGCAAATATCACAAYGATGGCTTTAGGAATGCTTTCTAAAAGAACAATGGTTTTTTCCCTACCACTGTAGCTCCGATACTGACATCTTTTGCTGTCAACCATTTCTCTGAAAAATCCTCTCATTGGTGATGCACCTCTCCAASTCTTCAGTCAGCAGCATCTGCAGGTCCTCTTTGCTGCAGTTCTGGCAGACACATCGAGCTGGACACAGAGCCATGGAGAGCAGCATGAGCCCTGCACACAAGGCAGCCAAAGGTACCCAAAATGGGTGCTCCAGGCACTCCAGCCTTGGAGCTTGGCCAGGACCTGAAAATCACAGGAGAGCATGCACAAGCATTTCCTCCCCAAACCATTAYTCTGATTATTCTGAGAAAGAGCTGACCAAACAAGACAATCTGCCTAAACCTTAGGCACCAGCCTTAAATTCCTTGATCCTGTTTATTTAGACCAGTGCAGATTTCATCCAGATCTATCTACCTTTCARGTGAGATCTGCCCATTCAAAACATCAGTTCCATTAACAACATCCTCTCTTCCATAATTCATTTGTTCTGCCACAATTTAGCAGCAGCCTGCACACACAAAATAAACACTAAATTCCTCAGAGTGATGCTGCCCACACCTTCAAGAGCGTTTGCACATCACACAAGAAACARAAGTCCCTGTACACAGCAGGATTCATTAACTCCTGCCCATTAAACTGTGCCTCCAGGGAGCTGCTGGTGCTGCATCCCACCTCCCATCCTTCAATGTGGGACTGCAACTGTTCAAGGGCTTCCAGTTTCTCCATCTGTCTCTTGGTCTCGTTGATGTTTGTGCAGACTGTCTTCATTGCCTGCAAGGCGCTCTGGACAGCTGGATGATCAGGATGCTTAGAGGGAGTCCTCTTAGCTAATTCCTTTAAAATAAAGAGGAAACATGGAAAGTGAACAGTGGTTCACAGAAAGGGATGAGCATTAACAAGCAATCTTGCAAGAAAATCACAGAATCATTGCAAAGTAAAGAAAATTCGGGAGCATTTTACTGTAGATACTGTTCTCCATTCTTCATCTGTACAGGGTTGATATGAAAGCTATTAAATAAATGAGGCAATTGCTCATGTCAAATATGCTACATTAGGAGAGCTCAAGCCAAATATGTTCTGCTGTGTCACAAGTGTTTACTTTACATTTATATGTTTAGAAGGCTGGGGCACACATTCTGATACAGAGACAAAAATCATCTCTGCTCTGAGGGAGGCAGTGAGAGTCTGTGCTTCACTTGTTTCGAAGCATAACAGCCCAGTTAAGCCCTGTCCACTGAAAAACAGCAGAAGGAAAACTCAGGACCTGACAATATTAACAAGTTTGGCAAAAGGGGCAACTACTGTCACCTCACAGTAATTATTTTAGACCGACAGTATTTCACATTCAGCCATACTTGKATAAGAATACATTAAAGAAATCCAAAATACAGCTGCTAATTTTATCTTGATACATAATACGGTGTTTAAGACTGAAATATTTAACTTTCTCACTATGTTTTGCCTTGTTATTAGCTTATAAATAAGTCCTGTGCTGCTGAATCGCATCATTCTGCATGRGACACAAGAATAAGCCTGGATACAGGCAGAGAGCCTGCACAGCACTCTGATCTGAGTGGAGCTAGATTGCTTCAATCCAGCTGTGATTTACAGAGTAACATATGCACAGGAAAAGGAGGCGTGCTGCCACAAATGTCAATTGATATCACAAATTAAATTCCCTGTGGAAGTCTTTACCCTACTTTTGCTGAAAGTGAGGCCAAGAAAAGTAAACATTCAAAAAGCAAAGAGACAGATGTTACACTTTGGTGACACCAGCTTCTGCTCCATGATCGGAGCAGTAAAAATCATTCAACTCTCATTAAAAATCACTGAAGTTCTGCAGCTCCAGTGTGACCCACACTGCACTGGAAACAGGCACGTACACACTAGCACTGTCTGAACATCCCTTTTGGAAATGTCCCCATCGGACAGAGAAAGCGCTCTTCATTCACAGCAGCCCCACGGCCACAAAGAGCACCATCCTTGCCCAAGTCCTCCCTTGCCACACAATCCTGACTGTTTGTATACCTCAAACTGACAGCAAACACACTTTGCAGCTGAAAGTTACATGTTTCTTTATTCTAAAAATTCCTTCCTCATATCTTTATTCTCCTGGGGACACTCAGACATGGCTTAACAGGGACTTTGTCCAATGGATGCTGACACTGTGCACTGACTGGTGCAAATCCCTGGTGCCAGGCTCTGGTGCTGCAGCCCTCGGAGACTGCCCAGCAGCACATGCCTACACAGATAACAACAGACAACRTATTTCTTTGTTTATCAGTTCAAAAACTTGTGCTCATTAACAGCTCAGCTCCAAAATATGCTTAAAAAAAGAAAAGACACAACAAAATCCCAAACCACCTTCCTGTAAATATAAAGGTTCCTGCAAGTTTTATATTTATATTTTACAGTTTGTAATATTTGCTTGTATAAAATTCRTTTTCCACTTAAACTAACCAGAAAATAAATGTTACATCAGGCTTCCTCWGTTTAGCTGCCAATCACAAAAGTTCTTTTATTCCATATATTGTTAAAATTTGTAATTTATGTCAATGTCTCTGCAGGGTAAATACTTGATAAGCAATAGTAGATCAGAAAATAGATTAACTTCAATGAGCCATTGAACCTATAACATATGCTGATGTAAAATGCAATAAAAACATGTTTCCATTTTTTTAACAATCAGTAGTTATTTGTGATTATATATATGTGTGGAAGACAAAAGCATGATTTATAAATTGGCAGTGCTCCTTACAGCTCTGTAAGGAATAGACAATTTTTAATATTATGACACTTACAATTGGATTTCAACCACACAATGTCACGAACCTAAGAGTAACACAACTTTCCTTGGGTGTGGGAAAGGGGAGAGTGAAATTAAAAAAAAAAACCAAACAAAAA